GAGTTACATAGGTTATAACTTTCCTCCTATGAACTTCAGGAGAGTATGGAGATGTGCAAATATAGTTGGTGAACAGTACCACATGAAGCTCCTTCATGCAAATTTCTCAAGTGCCCATTTCTCCTAAAGATAACCATTATTCTTTCACCATCATAGGATAGTTTTTGCCTCTTAACATTATATGTGTGAGACACATATATATTAGTATTGCAAGCGTAACTTTTTGTGTTGAGCTTCTTTCATTTACTGAAGTTTATCCATGGGAACTTTATTTTTTCACTGCTATAGCAGCCCATTTGTATAATACAATTTAATTCTCCACTGTATTGTAGTTAGATTTTTAGATTGTATCCAATTTTTTTTAGGAATAAAGCTCCTATGGATATTCTTTACATGTTTAGGGTACATGAACTGTAGGGAGCTGTGGAAACTGGAAATCAATCCCACGTGTGGAGCTAACACAGGGAGCTCCTACATCCATGTAAACAAGCTGCTGCAGCTTGCAAACTGGTTGCTAGGCAGACAGGTTGAAATTGACATCAACCTCCCTAGTGTATAAATAAACCCTCCACAGTTCTTAGACAGTCCCTTTTCTCCCCTCCAGAGAGGGGACTCCACCTGACTCCAGCTTTGTCTCCTCTATTTCTCCATCCTCTCCTCATTTTTCCCGGGAACAGAGAGCTGTGTGGGACACAGCAATGAATACTTAAAGAATTGCCTAGTCACAGAGTAAACTTGTTAGGATTTAGTAGCTCAAGCCAATTTTTATAGCTTTGAAACACTGTTCATTTCCATTGCAATAAACAGAATTCCACTTGACTTTCACCCACCTCAACACTTGGTATTAACAGCTCTTTCTATAGTTTTTCTAAGTACAGCCTGTGTATTTGTCTCCTTTGCATGTTCAATGATGTTGATAATCTTTCTATAGTTTTTGGCTATTTGAACAATGCCATTTGTGAAATGAATGGCTAATTTCTGGCCACTTTAATAGTTACAGTCTTTTCTATTTGATTTATATAACTTTTTGTATGTTCAGGATATGTGTATTTTACTTTGGAAATACTTTGTCCTTATATGTCATATATTTTCATATCTTTAAAGTTCTTTTTTGCTTAATAGACATTTCTGATTCTAAGGAAATCAAATTTCATACACAACTTCTTTCATGGTTGCTCTCTGGCCTATCCCACATTCTGACATCTAGCTTAATTCATTATAATCAGAAAAATTATTTAAATAAGTTCAGTCCTTTGAGATTAGTTTCATCTGCTTTATAGTCCAGGATATGTTCCCTTTCAAAAAATATTTCACACACATTTGAAAAATTATCTATCTATCTCTCTATGTATATTTGTCCATTACTATGTTTAAAATTAATTGTCAAAGGGAATAATTGAATCATTTAAATTTTCTATATCCTTATTACATTTTCCCTGTGTTTGGGTATTAGTCATTAAGAGCATATTAACATCTCAAAATAAAATTATGAGTTCACTATCCCTATCCCTTTTAGTTATGTCAACATCTTTTCCATTTTTTGTGTATTATGCATACATAATTAGAAGTTACATATTTTATTATAAAATAGCTCCATCTCTAGAGTTACATCTTGTCACACAATCCACTTTCTGTGATACTAACATATACTTATTCTAATTATTTCAGTCTTTCCAAGAAGTATTTTTCTCCATCTTATTACTTTCAGCTTTCCTGGGTCCTTGCATTTTAATGTCCCAATCGACAGTTCTTGGATTTTAATGTAAGTCTGGTCCCTGCCTAGCCCTTATATTTAAATATTTCCCCAAACTTTAAGTCTGTGGAAAACTCAGCTGAACTTTGCCTGTCTTGTAGCTGTTTGCTTTTGCTTTCAAGTCTCTAATTTTCTCAAGGGGAATAGCCACCCCAAATCATGTTTATTTTTCCTATTGGTTTTTTTGAGGTTTTTTTGCCTTGTAATTTTCAGAAGCTTTCATTCAAAATTATAAATATTTCAGCCATATTTCTCCTAATTGTTCTCAGGTTAAAATAGGCTAACCAAAACTCAGGCTGTCAGTGCTGGAAAATGTGACTTGTCATTGTACACTACAGAGCAGTCTAACAGCATCTTCCCATTAAAAGTAATGTTTATTGTGCTCTTCTCACCAACTTTCCCTGTTAATCTGATATTTTTTCTTCCTTTTTTTTGTTTTTTTGTTTTTTTTGTTTATAGTATCGTATCGCTCTCTAAGTTCTTTAGATGCCTGGCTTTCTTTCTTTAAATAGCCTAATAAAAGGTTATACATTTCCTCTAAAAACTACTCCCCAGATAGAATTCATGCTCCTCAAGAAAATAAGCAATGAAGTGTTTTTGGAACCATGTAAAGAAAATTATCCCCTAAATTCCATTGTGATTACATTTTTGATCCATGAAACATCCTAAAATGTGTTATGGAACTTTTGCAGCTATATTGTATTACCTTTTCTAGTTGTATTTGATTGGAGACACAGAAAGTTACCTGGCTGATGTCAGGCATTTGAAATCTGTCCATTTGTTTCTTTGCTTATATGGTCTGGTATTTAATCAAATCTTGGAAATATTGAGACTGTGCTTGAAGGGATATTTCTCTTGTTCAACTGTGAGCATGCTTTACAAAGGCAAGCGAAGTCTGTTTTTCCCAATCATGCTGCTGAATTGCTAGTGAACTTTGGCTGACACTGCTTTTCCTTATGTGACGTCAGGTTACATTTGCCCAAGATGCAGTCAGCAAACTCCTTTCTCTGAACGTCTTTGAGGCTCAGTATGGAAAGGTGTCCAGTGGGCTGCACTCTGTCCTCATTCTCCATTTGCTCCCACCCAGCAGTAGGCACCAAGGCCGTGAGTGAACCTGGCTGCACGTTTGTACCTGCAATAGCTACAGAGAAATAATCCCTTTCCATAGACTGCTTCACAAGCACTGTCCTAATCCTCCTTCTTCACTTGCGGTGCCCATTGGCTACAAATTTTCCACTCCTAACACTGCTCCAGGAGGGTGCAATGGTACGTTCTGTCTGATTTTCCTTTCTCCTTTTCAGACCACTGTTCCCCAGACTTCCTACAGCTTCGAAACGCTAATTTCCTGTAACAAATCCCCACTTTCCTTATAATACTCATAGCAGTTTCTCTTTGCCTGATTAAATCCTATATTATACTCTGTTCTATAAACTATTTCAGATGTGATTTATTCACCTTGATTTCTCACCAGTCTGCATTTTCTCCCGTTAAATATATTGGGAAGAGAAAATACATTCAATCTGTTCTTTTTTTTTAATTAGTGGAAACTCAACGTCTAGAGCTCTCAGCAGAAAGGTTTCAATAAATTTACATGCTATAGATTTAAAGCATTTTGACAAATCTGGAAACCCACACTGTATATGCCTTGACATAATTTCATAATAAGCTGTGCTGATAAATTAGTATTTGCAAGTCACTATCTTAATGGTTTGGTTTAGGCAATTCATCACTCAAGACATTTTCATCTCAAGAATTTAATACTAATTTGTAATAGCTAAATCTTGTAAACAACTCAAATGTCCATCAGCTGAGGAATGGATAAAAAAGATGTGGTATTTTTATACAATGGAGTATTGTTACTCAGCTATAAAGAAAGATAAACTAGAGGCTTTTATAGGTAAATGGATGCAACTCATTCCACTAATGAGACCACACTCATTAGTGAAATGAGTCAGATTCAAATGCATAAACATCGTGTATCTTCCCTATTATAAGAACCTGAAGAGTAAATAAAATCTGAAAGGTATAATAGATATTGTGAAAGGGAAAAGAAACTGCTCAAATAGGGAGAAGCGACTGGGATGAAGGAAGGGAGAGAAAAAGAGGGAAAAACATATAGCTACGATATTTGTACTACTATTTGTTAGTTTATTGAAAGGAACTGTTAATGTATAATTGCTTGCTCAACTTGCAAACCTATATCTGGTTATATGTGCAGCCATTTTGAAGATGACATTATGTAACATAACAACCATTATTAATATCCTATCACTATGTTTTGAAATTGTGTATCATTTTTAATGTTCTCTATGCTGTTTTATGTATTTGTTTTTGTTATTTTGGGTTTTTTTTAATGAAAAACCAAATTTATATGTGTATATAAGGATAGCTGGAATAGGTGTATTGCTGATGTCTGTGGTTTATTAAAGGAACAGTTAATGCTTAAATTTTTCTTTTTTCTTGACCAATTTTGCACGCTTGAATTTGGTAATCAGAATGACTGATCTGCAAACACTAAGAACCATTGTTGAACTTCTAACATCTTTTATGGTGAAGGTCTCCATCATTTCCAATGCTGGGTTTTTTTTTATTACTTGTTACTGTCTTTGATTGTTTGATCAATCTTACATTCCTACATCTGGCAGACTGAAGAACTTCATTGAAGATAACGGTATGTAATGTAGCAACCACTGTTAATTCCTATCATTTTATTTTGAGGTCATGTATCATTTTTGTTTTATTTTCATTTTGTCTTCATTGTTGTTGTGTTAGGTTTTTTAATGTAAAAAAATTTAATACTGTCCCGAGGACTGTGTTTTCCAGAGAGCTGAGACAGGGCCTAGGGTTGTGCACTTTTAACAAGCGGTGCAGAAAGTGTCAGTGAAGGTGACTGGGCACTGCTTTTGGCAAAGACGGGACTGGAAAAACCGTGGAAATTATTTCAGCATGGAAGTTTTCTTCTTACATCTTTCTGTTCATCCCCATCATCTTCCCCCAGTAGAAAAAGTAAAGAAACAATAGAACAAAACTTACTGCACTGTCCAATTTATCTATGCCATCCAACTTCAGATATAACGGCTCTGCAACTGTTTGTCAAATATGTAATTTCCTGAGTTGTGTTACATATGCATGAGCATTTTAATGTCTCTAAACAACACTAATGATTTTAAAAACTTTTTAAAACATTCAAACTCTGAAAAATTATATCAGCATTGAACTTTAAGAATAAATTGAATATATGTAAAAATATAGTTTAAAATTATTTATTAAATGAGTCAACCTAAACCTCTTGATATATAAGAACATATTACTCAATTCAACTTTCCTTACATACCTGTGTATCCCTATTTCAAAACAAAAAACAGAAGAAATAAATTAAAAACAGAACAAAACACTTATTATCTGGGTCAATTCCAAGGCACAGAATATCACATATAGGAGACATTTATCTAGTCATAAATTTTGAAAGCAGGTGTCTCACACAAATGAAACTATACTGCAAATACATTTTGTCACTCTCTTCAATTTTACATAATGCTGGAATCACTATCACACAAATTATTTGGCATGGAATTGAGTAGGAAGATTTTGTCTAGAAAAAGAATAACACAATAGTTAACAGTGATTCCTTGTGGCAGACTTCTTGGCTTAGGTGATGGTGTTTCTTGTAACTTTCTTTTCCTTAATAACATCCTTCAACTGCATCATAATTATAGTTAAAAGAAGTACGAATGACCTTCTTCAAAATATTTAACTCCCTATTGAAAAAACAGTACAGATTCTTTACCCTCAACTGGAGTCCATCAACAGAGATCCAAAGCCACTGACTGTGTCTGAAACTATAAAATCATTTGAGAACCAAATTTTTGCTTTTGACACTTCCTAGCTCTTAGCTTGGGATTTCTGTAGGTTTTCTCTCACCCTCACTAGATGGCTGTGGAGAACTGATTATTCCCACACAATTTGTACTGGGCCCAGCACAGAACTTCTGTCTCCCTTTCATCTTCCTCTTCTCTTGCTAGCTTGCTTTAGCATGGCTCAAGGAAGGCCTTAAAAGCCACATCATGAGATGCGGCAGAGTGAAGCCGGCATTTTACTTCACCACAACTTCTCAATGGGTCTTTCCAAATGATTTAGTTGTTTCTGCTTCCTGTTTACAAACAAAGTGGCTGAACGCAAGGATGAGAGGACATTTGAAAAAAGTTACGTGCCCTTTTGGTTTTGATACTTAAAATTGTGTCACACCAGACCCCAAATATTCCTTGGAACATTTCTGGGGAAAAAAAAAAAAAAACCAGCTGTGGTTTTGATGGGAGGATAACTGCCATGCTAGCATCAACTGGTACTTGATGGTCAGATGCTCTTAACTCAGCCCTTCCAAAATAACCAATGAATTTTATTAGATGCGACGAATCTATCTAAATAACTTTGAGTCCTGGTTTTGGTTGGGGTACTTTCAGAAAGATGACGCCAACATTGTTGTATGATCACCAAGGTACAGAGACACTCCACAGGAAATCCAAAGGTGAATGCAGTCTTTGTCAAAAACATCTGAAAGGGCTGCTACCATTCAATCCGGGGAATTACCTATTTATCTTAGAAACTATTTTCTCTTTTGCTAGTTTTTCTGTCTGGTCTAGAAAGCCAACACTCGGTTTGTTTTCAATGGCAGTGCACAAATAACTCTGAGTTAAATTTGCTTTTATTTTATGTATTAGCTCTATAAACACCTTGAACTATTCAAGTTAATGCATATACCCAAGAAAGCAATTTTCCTACTCTTCCTTATATTCGTGAGCACCGAGGAAGACCGCTGTGCATCAGGTGTCATCATGCTGAGTGAGACTTCGTAGGCCAGGAACTCGCTCCACCTGTGCTTATTTTCAAGTAAATAACTGGTTTCTCAGGAGAGAATACATCATCTCTTATGCATATGCACTCCAACTTCCACTAGCTCATTTCATTTTAGAAAACTGTTCATAAAATCTAACCAGCAGTTGATAAATCTAAACTATCAACACCGGGGTAACTGTCTTATAGTTTTATAAAATAAATCATCCTTAGTTCTAAAATTTAATATTGATCAGTAGTTAATACTCTGTCATATATTAAATATCAGCCATCCCATAAAATTCATTAACGTTAGATAAAGAAATACCAATTTAAAAACCTTGTCATAAAGTTTCTTCAGATGTGTATGACAAAAGAGCACTAGTCTTCTGGAATTCAATTCCAATTTGAAACTTGAGATTCAAACATTATATAACTGGGTTGTATCTTTCACTCTAGCAGAATTCACATATATTTTATATATATATTTATACATAGCCTAGTGATACAGTAACCAGAATCAGAAATAGGAGCGAGAATTGTCATGCATGTATACAGGCCTAAATTTGAGCGGAATAATTCAAGAAATGTATTCTTCAGTTAATCAAGTTCATCGCCTTTTTCTTACTTGGTTGACTGTTTAGTGTTAAATATGCAGTGGCTTTTCCACTGAGTGTCTCTCATAGATGACATGTTACATCTTGTAAAAGAAGCAGCTGACACTACCATTTCTCATGTGTCAAAGGCGTAGGAAAAAGGCACTGAGTATTGTGTAAGGAGGTGCACCAATATGAAAATGTCGTAAACGTGTTCAGAGATTTGGGATTTCTTCAAAGCAGAGAGGTCATTCGACAAACTACTTATTTCTAGCTTACACTGACCGTGCTCAAAAAGGCTTCATGATACAAAATAGGCATTACAGAAAAAACGTAACTTTAAAATCCTCAACAACTTTCTGAAGTGCATAAATTAACCAATATGTATTTTCCTGCACTCTTCACTAAGAAAATACATTTACTTCTTTACAATACTGCTCATGTGCTTGAGTATTTCCACAGATGACCACAAATCTTGAAAATACTGTTGCCGATATGCTATCTTCAACAACCTTGATGTTAGTCTTTTGTTGAAAGTCAAACATTTCATCTTTGGGGGAAGAAATGGTTACTGCATGTGCCTAGGAAAAGTATCTGAGATTCTGATGAAAGCTTAACTCATCTCAGACAATTTCAAGAATAAACTTCTGCTGCGATATTTATCCAACTTGATTAATGTGAATTTTATTATGAATGGTTTTGGTATTTCATTTGCATAATTTAAAGTGGCAGGCTCTAGAACTCAGAAAACCTCCTTGCTCTCCTTCTTCTTGGACTATTTTTTCTTGATGAGAGGGAAATAAAAAATACAACACAATAAAAGACCATAAAAATGTGCAGATGCGCTGGGAAGTGGAGACACAGTCCGAGCCCGTGTTTCTTCCGGAACTGCAGCACTCTTGATTTCCTGTGTTCGGATTCTCCGTGCACCTTCAACACTCATTCACAGCATCCCAGGAAACAGTAGATAGTGGTACTCCTCCAACCCCACAAAGCTGGCTTCTTAAAAGTATATAAAAACTTTGAGTTAAAATTAAAAACAAGGTAAGTTGACACGGGGCCTCTGCCATCTGGCCCTAACCCCAGAGAGAACAGGTGGAGGCAGGCAACCAGCTGCCCCTGCTGCGCCGATTAAATTGTGGATTTAGCCAGCTGCATTTTGTTTTCCTCGATCATGACATGCTTGGCAAATTCATTAGGATTCAGTCCCAATTTTTCTTTTAGTTTGTTGAGTTCAAAATCATGAAGAATCCTGACAGTCATTAACTTTTCCCGTTTGATTCTGTCCACAACATCTTTGGGAACATCAGGTATCATCCAGGCCAACAAAAATTTCACAAGAAACACAATGTGCTAGAGGGAATATAAAAGAACACCAGGACACCATTAGACTTGTCAGAAGTTCAGCAAGAAGTGCTTACAGAGTCTTTCCCTCATTTTGTAAAACAGAAGGATAACCAAGAAGCTATATCGCCTCTCTCGTACAATTTTCATACACACATTGGCATCAAATGACTTAAATATGTCCCTGGAGAAATTCCACCTGAACATGGTTATTGAAGAAACCTTTATCTGTGACCCCTTTCAAGGCCTAATGAAATACCTGTATAGGAATCGGACTGATGATGAAGAAAATTAGGATTTAATCTTGTAGTTGGTGAGAGGGTGGTTGATAGTGGAAATTAAAAAGAAAAAAATTATTTTCAAAGCTCAGAATTCAGGAACAAGGACAGCAAGGAGCTTTGAAGGCCATAGTTTAGGGTGGAATTATAAGAAGAGTGTTAGTTTAAATTTACATGAGAAACAATAAACTGGTTAGGATCTGTCCCCATCTGTGCTCTGGTATGAGATCTCTACTGAAACGCCACCGAGGCAGCAAGGAAGAGCTTGTTTTTACACCTCAAAGCTGCACACTTAGGAGTAAGGAATAACACACGCTGTCAAGGTCGGAGGTACGGCACATTCTGAAAATGCAAAGTGTAAAACTTTCAATCAGCCCTGTGAATCATTCACATTCCTCAGCTCTCAGGCAGCCAGGAAATCATCAACTGCCAAGAGGTTAGAAGATTTTCCCTGCGGAAGCAGAAACACAGGTACCAAGATTTTATAGGTCTCCAATGAGAAGGTGGACTCCCTACCTTACACTAAAACTCATCAAAGTGACTCTCGGTCCACACAGGAAGAGTACAATTGGGATGAGTAGGACCAGCAGCTATGAAATAAATTCCTTAACACGAATACACGAAACAAGAAATTAAAGGACCAAAAAAATTAAAAGAAAAATAACTATTGGAATCTCTATCTTTACAAAAAAGAGAAAATAAATGGTAATTAGCATTTCAAAAGAAGAAGTGTATTATCCGAAAAACAGAAGTTAGAACAGAGAGGTGGAATAAAGGAAGACATTTATCAAATACAAAATTCAAACAAATTTCACAATTTGAAGTGTACAAATGTTTTCGAATCTAAGGGTGGAGGAATTATCCATGACGATGACTATTTTGTCAAACAGCAAGGAACTTTCTTGTGAAGTTTCATAAAAGCAGAGCTAGTGAGAGAATCCTCAAAGTTTCCTGAATTTAAGAGAAAGAAGGTCATAAGCACGGACTGGAGGGTCAGACCAGCCATGCCTTTTACAGCACTACAAATTGGAAGGAAATGGAGTCATGAACTAAGAAATAAAATCAACAATACCTACATAAATTTGGCATTCTTGTTTTAGGGAAAACAACTTTTAATGTTGAGCTCTATAACAATTACATGTAGGGAAAAAAATCAATATTGAAGATCTCCAAATTGCCTAGGCATAATTTTCCCAGAAAATTTCTGAAAGATATGTTTTGACAAAGGCAGCTAGTAAACCAACAAAGGTTCCTGATGAAATTTCCCAGACTGAAAGACAATCTAAACTTCTGACTGAATATATGGGGATTAAAGAGTGACCAATTCATAAAGAATCAAGCGCTACAGAGGGAGAGGGAGAGAGAGAAGGGAGACCAAGTTATAACAAGGAAACTGTATTCGGAGTAGAATACATGAAAAAGATGTGATTTCTAATTATTTATAGTCACCACATCCACTTTGACGGACACTCGTCTCTCATCTCTTATTCAAAACTCAACGATGAACAGAAATATTTCAGAGTTCAGAGCGATAAAGTACTAAAAATATATTTGGTGGTGGTTCTGTATCAAACACCTGAGTATTTCTGTAGCAAAATAAATGACTAGGCACTCTAAAGGGAATACATAAATCCATCCATAACCTTAAATCAGATTAGATCAGGTAGACATACCCGATAAGTTGCCAAGAAATACTGTCCTTTGAGATATTACATTGAAGAATAAAAGAAATCATGAACTTGTACAAACAAAAATTATGCTCCCATTATGTCGAGATAAGAGATAAATTTCTCTATGTATATGTGTATGGATGTGTGCTTGCGTGTACTGTATGAGTGTGTGTGTATGTGTGTGTGTGTGTATGATGTGTAAGGTCTGTCAGTATCAAATCAAAAATTAATATCTAAAACTAAAAAATGCGTTGAATAGTTAATATCTAAAAGTATGAAAAAATACTAAAACTAATATCTAAAAACACTGCATGGAGATTTAGCCAGAGTAAACTGTAAGAAAAAATTAGTTTTATTCATTTATTTATTTACTTTTGAGACAGGGTCTCCCTCTGCAGTTCAAGCTGGCCTTGAGCTCATTTTCTATCCCAGGTTGACCTTGAACTCACAACAATCCTCCTGACTCAGCCTCCTGAGTGCAGAGATTTATAGGTGAGTACCACTCAGAAAAAACTAGTTCTAAGAGTTGAAATGTTTACCTTTAGAAATAAGGATTTGAGGATGTAGAGAAGTGTATAAGACTACTCTCTTTTTAGCCATGTAGGGCTATTTACTTTTTAACAATGAAAGTGTTTAATCTTGACAATAGTAAAATAAATTCAATGGCACCAGGCTGGGAATGCATGGGCTAAGCCTAGAATTGCTTCTAAATATTACTGTATTGGGCTTTCCTGCAGTTTGCAAAGTTGCCTTACTTTTATTTCTCTCTCTCTTATTGCTCTTCCTGTATCATAATTAGTAGCAAACAACTTGTAAGTCCATCAATACCACCTTTGCTCTGGTTACCTTTTCTCACAAGCCTGTTCTCCACCATTACACTAGATATTCCACAAGTCAGGAGGCAAAAGGACAGTGGACAGTCTGGGCTGGGGAGTGTGATGCACATGGTGTGATCAAAATGCAGGGATTTTTAAAAATCACAGCAAAAGCCATATTGCCATCAATCTACCTCCAAATACTTCCCCTCATTTTGTAAACACACTCTGGTTCTCACCATGTTCTGAAGCATTTCTGGAAGTGCTTGTTCATGAGTGTGTTTAGTTGCTCTGTCATGGCTGCTTCCATGCCCTGCATCAATTCAAACTGTCTCTCTTTCACAGGCATTTTGACTTTTAGGAAGAGCCCGAAGTCACGCCGGGCTGGATGCAGTAAACAGGCTGCACGAGGAAGTGCTGCCATATTTTTCACAAGCCTGCCTTGGCAGCGGCATTCACGGTATCTGTGATCAGACCTTATAAGAACTGGTGAAAGAGGACTTCCAGAACTGTTTCAGAAAGTGGCAAGAATAAGGGAGTTAGTGTGTTCAAAGGGAGGGGAAATGCTTTCAGGGGGACTGATGACCATGTGTGCTTTACCATGATATATTTTATTTAAGCAGTCACTATCCCTTGTATCTGAAACCTAACCTCTAATATCAGCTGCTCAGACTTAAGCTTACTGCTTACGATTGCTGAGTATCAGATCCAATCAGTAGAGTTAAATAATTAAGTATCATTTGCAAAATTGTTATGACTTAAAATAGCTGCTAGAACCAGGACATAGTAGGCTTTTTGCAAAATAGTGGGCTCACTTCCCTTTTCCCGATGTCAAGCAAAAAGGCTCTGTTTTTCTTTTCCTTTTCTGTCACCAGGGTATCTCTGACAATAGCACATACATCAACAGGTAGCCCCACCGCACTGACAAGGTCCCTATATCACCTTCCATCACAACAAATACTTCCATAAGAACGACTTACTGAGATAAGGCTCACTTTCTGATTCACAGGCACTTTTACAAACAGTGTGTCCGAACCGAGAGGAGGGAGTAACAGAAGCAAAGCTCAGAACACTTACTTCCATGATTATGATGAACGTCATCTTGGCAGCAAGGACATGCCAGAACTGCATATTATGAAGGTACTTATTCTCATCCCCAGGGGGATTTCTGTAATCTCTGTATCTGGAAAAACGGAAATAAGTACAAAGAATCAGTACTAGCTTCACCTAAAGAGACTAGAACCAAACTTCTATTACTCACTGACCCCAAAAGGGAGGTCACAGCAACACAACTGATGATGCGGGACATTTTCTTTTTCATATCAAATCGTGGCCATGTGACATTTGTACACTGAATATCTCTGACAGGAAGTTATAATTGAAACTTCTGTCTTTCAAAGAGAAACTTCAAAACGGAGCTAAAAAACTTCGTGGTTTTCCACTGCTTTTCTTTCTAATTCTCAAACACTTAGTTCTGTTCATCTCTCTGCCAAAAGTGATTGCCATCCGTCATTAAGTGGAAGGGAGGGACAATTTAATCCTCATCCTATTTGACTTTTCAAGAATGGAATCGGTATTGTCGGTCATTTTATTTTCTTCCACCTCTATTTTCTCTTGGGAGGGTAGACAATGCATTACTCTATTTTTCTAGACCTTTCTATGTACTCCACTTTGTAAGCTCATTCTCTTCTCTAAAGTCCCTAGATACTGATGCTTTTCAAAGACAGTCTCACTAGAAAATGAAGAAATCTATAAATCTGACAATAGTGTCCATTCTTAATCACTATGATATGAATCTTTATATCCAAATGAAGAATATAATAATGCTTTTGTCCACTTGTCTTATAACTTTTTTTATCATTCTTTGTTGAAATCCTAAGGAAAGCACTTGATTTAAGATTTAAGTGACTCTGGTGTTTATCTGTCTGTGAAAGTATCATGTTAAAATTTTATAGTATAAATATTCTCACATATACTGAGTATTGAAGGAGCAGTTTATGCAATCCTATTTCATATTCCCTACCAAAAAAAAGCCCTACCTTTAAATGGGATACCTGGTGAATGATCATATTATTATATAATTGTTTTCTTCTCTTTATTTTAAGGATCTATAGTTCAATTCAAGTAACACATACATAATATGACCATGGTGTATGATGCACAGATATTACAACTTAAGACCAAGAGGCATTTGTTGGTGAGGAAACTTTATGAAAAAAGATTAAAAATATGATACTGCAAAATCAACATGATCATTACCTCTAATATTCTCTTCTTTTGTACATATCTCCTTTCAAAAACAGAATCATGTGATATGTGAATTCTGGAATTGAATCACACTATTTATTTAGAATTTTTTGTGCCTTAAGAAAATCCCTGATGTGAGAAAACATGGAAGAATTGAATAACTTAAAAAATACATTTAAGTAGCAAGATTAAAATCTAGACAAGAAACATACCTGCAAGTGGTGTAGTCTCGTTCATCCAAAGGTACAGTGTGATTTGGAAAATCAGCTATCAGGAATACTGACAGGCTGTTGTTGACATAGCCGCTCAAAGGCTCCGTGGTGTTTGTGGAGTAAGCATAGTAGTAAACTAAACGGGGGATGATGTCTGACGTAAACGCAACAATAAAGGCCTGAGCGACAAAACAAGAGTGAGATCAGGAGCTGGAGAACGAGGGACCCGTGTATCTTTCAGTCCCACAAGTCTTTGGGGAACAAACTGACTAAAACATTATACTTAATCATAGTAACAAGCCTCTCTTTGTTCTACAACGTGACACAGCTCCTTTACAGTACTCAGTAAATATCCCAAGATTTCATAGCTAAACGTGGCTAAACTGAGAATTGAAACTAAATGCATCTGTCTACAAAAGACCTTGCTTTTTCCTCACTATTTCTTACTTTTCCATCTGTGCCATTTAACACAATGTTCTGTTTGTGTTTTACTGTCCCTAACTGGATTCTCTTCACTGGACTGGCTCCCTGAGCAGCAGCGTGCTTGACTGTGTTGGTGGGAGTGAATGGGAAGATAAAGGCCATGGACTGGAGAACTTCCCACAGCTCACTAAAACTTCCCACCTCCTAATCTGACTCCATGGAGACGTTATTTTCGAAAACTTTCTTGAGCTCTAAAGTTGTACAAATAGCTTGTTTTCTTTAGAACAGAGGAGTTAATTTGAAACCTCTAGTACTGGCATCTATATTTTTAGTGGTGAAATTTGTAAATTTACTATTACTTCCACAGCTGCTATTCAAATGATCTGTTCCTTACTGAATCAATCTGGCATTTTTATTTTCTATAGAAGTACTAATTCCAAATAGGTTAATGTTTAGAAAAGGGCACATAGCAATCTTTCACATTTCTCAGGGTTTTGCTTTTATTAAGTCTTTTCAACAAAGCAATTTGACTTACCAATTGTATTACTTTTGTGTTTTTAAATTTGATTTATGCTTTTTATTTTTTACTACTTTATTACTTTTGTGTTTTTAAATTTCATTTATGCTTTTTATTTTTTACTACTTTCTACTAATTTGTTTTAATTTTTTTTTGTTTTGAGTCATAGCTCAGCTCATGTTTTCCAGTATCTCCCTTGTCTTCTGTTTTTTTCTTCTTAAATAAAAGCATTTATAACAACAGATTTGCTGCAGTTCCTATTCTGCTCGTTCACATAGGCTCTCATCTTATAGACTCTGGCTATAATTTCAGTTCCATTTCTTCTTGATGAAGGGGTAAAAATATTAAATAGTTGGACTCTCTCTTTTGATTACCTTTTAATTTCAATATTTAAAGCATAGCCGGAGATGTGTATGCACTGTAAGATGTATAGTTTTGGGAATTTGTATTCTTACTATTCTTATGTAAATGCACGATAGACATAAATAGATGTTTACTTTCTGATTGTGGTATATAAATGCATGGATAACCAATCTTCAATGGATTATTCAAATACTTTATGTTAATACTTATTTTTATACAATGGGTCACTTAGTAAAAATGCTATCATGAAATTTTAATAAATGGTTTTATAATTTTTCTTGTATTTTATAAAATCTGTGTGTCACAGATTTCTTTTTATTATTCAATGCATAAAAGTTTAGGAAGTTTTGTATTTATGGCCTATCACCATGAGTGAATAAGTATAAGTGAAGAACAAGTTTAGCATCATTCACACATCTCCATTCCAGGGAGACAAATAAAATGCCAAGTAACCCCAATGGAAAAGATCCACCACTTACATTAGTTGCGACAGAAAGCACCGCCATGCCGGCAAGGATGTCCTGCCAAACACCTATGCTGTGCGCCTTGGCAGCTACAGGTCTCCTGTACTGGGTAGTCAGTTTCCAGGCATCCACTCGGATCTCTACAATGTTGTTCATGAGGGCAAAAAGAGGGGCCAGCGGGAAAGATGCCACAAATAGTGTGACAAAGCCAAACTGGATCACTGTAGGGAGAAGAACAAGAAAAACATGAAGTCATGATTATGGAGAGAAAGGGGAGCATTCTGGTCACTTCTGCATTTCTTTCACTGGAAAGAGACCAACAGAGTCAAATAATTCCCTTCTCCTTCCGTCTGTCTCCTAACAAAGGAGGCAGTGATTTATTTACGTTCTAGAACTGGATGGAGGATCTAAGACGCAGAACTCAGTTGTCCTGGTGCTGCCTGGTAAGACCCACTGGTCTACAGAAAGAATCTGTGGTTTGCCTTTCTTTATGTGCTAAGTTTAGGTTCATGCTGGCCTACTCTTTATGTTTTTATTGCCAGTTAGTTATGTGCTGGATAACGAAATATCTTTTCTCGCAAATCTATATACTTTTTCGACCAAGATGATGACTGATTCATTTGCATGCTTTTAATGGCTGGTGTGTGTGTGTGTGTGTGTGTGTGTGTGTGTAAATTTTTATACATACACAATATATGCATGCATATATGCAAAATGAAATGAAATAAACCAGACACAGAAGGTTAAATATCATGTAGTTTCTCTATAGGAGAAATTTGAAGTATAAAAAAACTATAAAGCAAAATAATAAGAAAGCTGATAGAACACAGGGAGGTAGACTTTGTAGAGATGGAAAAGGGATCTAAGGGTGGGAAGATGAAGAAGGGAAGTGAAGGGGAAATGAAAACTATCAAGATGTGATACATGTATGTCACAATACCACACAGTCAATGTATGCATTATGTACTGCAAGCCTATACTAATAATAAATTTTCAAAAAATATAAATATTAGGGAATAAGGTATCTGTGAAGACCCAGCAGTTTACACTCTTGACATTTTCCTACGTAAGTTTTCCTTTCTAACCTAACTAAGACTTAGCAGAGGGATGCAAGCTGACTTCTCATTTTTGTTCTCTGATTTCTAACAATGCTTTGACTAAGGGAACCCATGCAACTGACAGCCAGGACTTTCCACACGAGTGAAGGAAAAAAGAAGACAGAAATGGCTTTCCAGTAAGGAAGCAGATTATTTCCACCAACCACCTATTTTTAAATGACTCCTCAGTATCTTTGTACTTTCGCTTTTATTGCAGGATTACATCAGTCTTGTTTTTGCTTTTTTGTTTGTTTGTTTACAGAAAGACTATGGGAGTTAGCTGTGTGTGTGTGTGTGTTTTTTTTTTTTTTTGTCTTGCTGTCTTTCTTTACTGAACAAATAAATATAAAACAAAGAGATATCAGGTGGAAGCAACATGAATTAGGGGGTTCAAATCTAGATCTCTGGCTACAATCTTTGTGGCTCATAGAAATTGACAGGATTGCCCCCACCAAATTCAAAGACCCAATCCAAAAAAGGGGAACTGAGATGAATACACACTTCTCAGATAGAGAAATACAAATGGCAAATAAATATATGAGAAAATATTCAACATCATTAGTCATTCAAGAATTGCAAATTAAAACAACATTTAGATTCCATCTCACCACAGTAAGAATGGCTAGCATTAAGAAATCCACCAATAACAAATGCTGGCGAGGCTGTGGAGAAATAGGAACCCTTCTCCACTGCTGGTGGGAATACAGACTGGTGAAACCACTGTGGAAATCAGTTTGGAGAGTCCTCCAAAAACTAGGTCTAGAGGTCCCATTCAACCCAGCTATTCCCCTTCTGAGTATTTTCCCAGAAGATCTGAAAACATCACATCACAGCAATACACGTGCACCCATGGTTATAGCAGCACAATTTGTAATTGCTCAATTGTGGAAGCAACCCAAATGTCCATCCACTGAGGAATGGATAAAAAAATGTGGTACTTTTATATAATGGAATATTACTCAGCTATAACGAAAGATAAATTTGAGCCTTTTATAGGTAAATAGTCACAACTAGAGACCATACTCATAAGTGAAATAAACCGACCTCCAAGTGTAAACAACGTTCTGTCTCACCGGTATAAGAACCTGACAGAGTGAATAAAAATTAGGAGGTATGACAGACACTGTGAAACAAAAGGAAAATGCTCAAAAGTAAAGAGCAACTCGGGTGAGGGAAAAGAGAAAAGAAAGGGGAAATTTTGTATGTATGTATGTATATACAGGATAGCTAACACAACTGTACTACTGACTGCTATCGCTTTACTGAAAGGAACAGTTAATGATTACTTATTTGATCAATCTTGCATGTCTCTATTTGTTTTCCTGAGAAACCACTTTGAAGATATCAGTATGTAATACAATAACCATTTTTAATTTCCTATCACTTTGTCTGTAACTCTGTATTGTTTGTATTGCTCTTGTGCTATTTTGTAAATGGATGTCTGTAAATGTTTTCCTTCTTTTATTTTTAAAATAAATTTTAAAAAATTAACTGGACTATCTAATTTTCACTCTCTTCAAAAACCAAAATATGCCAAGTAATCACTAAATAATTACTTAAAGAGTTGAGATAATGTGGGAAAGTGTCTAGGGTAAAATAACTTAGTTGCATCACATAAAATGGTAGTTAATATTGTTATGAAAACCTCCATGTTAGGGATATAGCTCAGTGGCACCAGTGCCTGCCTGGCAAAAGCAAGGTCCTTAGTTAGATTCCAGGTACAAAAAACAAATAACAAAAAACAAAAACCAAAAGAAACTCCATGGCTTCTTTTAATTTCAATACTAATGTCTAATATATGTATGAAATGATTTATTTAGAGGTTATACAATTAATAAAAAATATAGCCTTACTGCCCAAAAACAGATGTTTAATGCATCTTTACAAAACAGACTTACTTCCCTATGTCCTAAATTTACCAGTTTCAATTTGAGGTATCACATTCATGTATTATATTAAAAATCATTTTCTGGATCATCTCACTCATTTCATGATATTATGGGTTTTGAGAACCAGTGAAGAAAATTTGTTTTCTGTAGTTCCACTAGAGAAACAAAGTAACACAGAGAAACAAAGTAACTTGAGTGGAAATTTTTGGAGTATATTATACGAACAGTCCCCAGAACTATTTCTCCTAAAATTTCACCTCAACACATTTCCCCTGTTCAATACCTGCAATATTTTATGAATTTCTCATTTTCAGCCTAGATCTAACTTACATAATTTTACTCGCTACTATTTTGCAGCCTGACCTAAAGGATATACACTAAATGATTTCAGGTTTGGGAAATATTTTCTAACTTATTTTCTTTCCAAGCAGTCACTGAGGCAGAGAAAATTAAAACATTTTAGGGAAAGAAGTTAAAATATCATTCTTACTTGATTTGGCTCAACAATATTAATATTCAGTTGATAAGAAAAGATGCTTTTAAGGTTGGTGTTTGGAACGTAAACTTTATTCTACACTCTACTTAGTGGGACATGGACATTATGAATCATTCTCTTGATCTCTGTTCATTCATCTTTTTACCCACCATCCAGTGATAGCAGGCAACTACTATTTGCAAGGCAGAAAGAAGTACTGTGGGATGAAAAACACGTCTATTTTATTCAGCTTGGCTCTGTGCTTCATAGCATTGGTGAAAAGTTACCTGTTTCTAAGTACTCATAGAATAACCCAAGTTGTCCAAAACTCTGAAGATCGTGATCCTGCTCCCAGCGACTATACAGTTTCTCAGAGTTAGTCCGAGCTTTTCGACGTCTCCACCAATTAAAAACCAAGCTGTTGGAAATGATAAAAGTAAACACATGAAGGAGAGCTAAACAGAAAGAAGTCACTAAATTGGTGCGTTAAAACTGAAATGACAGTGGGAAAAAAATAACTTAAGATCAAGCAACAAGGAAATACATGACCTAAACTAAAGTCCAACTCAAAATCTAGGATTCTTTTCATCACACATGTTCCTTATTTTTATTTTTAGGGTGATTAAGAAACCAAGATCTTGACTGTTCTCACTGACCTATACTTACTCAGAGACATTGTTCTACGTATCTGTTTTATGCCAGTGCCCTGCTGGGTTTTTTCTGTCTATTTTTTGGTACTGGCACTGGAACTCACAACCTCACACTTGCCAAGCAAGTGCTATGTCACTGAGCTATATCCCTGGCCCCTATGCTGCTTTTGTTACAATGACTCTGTAATATGTTTTGATATCAGGTGTTGTGATACCACTACAATTTTAGGGGATGTCTGGATTATTTTTATCATTTTAGGACTTTTGCTATTCCATATAAATTTTTAGATCTTTTCCGTAGTTCTCTGAAAAATGTCATTATATTTTGATAGGGACCACACACACTCTGTGTGGCACTTTCTGTAACATGATCTTTTTAGCAATATTAGAGAACATGGAAGTCTTTCCTTCCTCTAGTATATTCTTTAATTTTTCCAGTGTTGTATAAATTTTGTTGTAAAGGCCTTTAATCACTTTGATTAGACTGTTTCCTAATCAAAGTTTTTGAGCCTTCATGAATGCAATTGTTTTTCTGACTTTTTCTCAGCTAGTTAACTACTGGTGTAGAGCAAATCTGCTGTGTTTAAGGCTCGTCGTGCTTCCTACTGGTGTAGAGCAAATCTGCTGTGTTTAAGGCTCGTCGAGGCTTTTATAAGTAGGTAGATGCAACTGAAGACCAAATTCATAAATGAAATAAATCAGACTCACATGTATCAACATTATATTGACACTTTGGTACATTTTTCAGATACAAAAGTCTTTTGGTAGCTTCTTCAGAGTCTTCTACTTATATGAAGATATCATGTACAGTTGTGCACTGTTCAACTTCTCCCATCCAAGTACTAACCAAGCCCGACCTTGCTTAGCTTCCGACATCAGACGAGGTCAGTGCATTCAGGGTGGTATGGCCACAGACCATTGTTCAACTTCTTACTTTCCTACTTGTATCTCTTTTGGCTTTGTCTTGCATAGTTGTGTGGGTTAAAATACCTAGTACTATACCGAATAAAAGTGGTAAGAGTAGACGTATTTGTTTCTGAATTGAGAAGAAAGTGTTTATTTTTTTCCATTCAATATGACATTAACTATGAGATTTTCCTAATAGGCATTATTGTGTTGAGGGCTGATTCTTGTCACCCACATTCTTCAACCATTTTCTTATGAAAATATATGGAATCCTGTCAAAGGTTTTTTTGTGTATCAAATCACAAGATGTGCTTTTCTTAAAATCACTGAATCTATTATGTAGTATATTATGTTTATGTTGAACTATCCTTGCAACCTTTGAAACAACATGATTGTGGTGTACGATGCTATTTTTCTTTAATATTCTTTAGTTTCACCGTACACACCTGGGTGTGATTTTAATTGTTTATCTTACATCATCCTCAGGATTTATTTTTTTTCCAACAACTCATGATATTTCTCCACTTTTGGAACACATTCAGCAATTATTTATTCAAAAACTGTTTTCCCTCCAAGATTTACTCAGTTATCTTTTTCTGAAGCTTACTGGCACTTTAAGATAGAAAGCTGTTATCGATCCTATTGCAGATGTAACTCTTAAATATTTTGTCATTATTATTAATTATTTTGCAGTGCCAGTGATTGAACCCAGGGCATTTGCATACTAGGCATGTGTTCTACCATTAAGCTGCACCCTCAGTCCTTTAACTTTTTACAAACCTTATAATGTGCAATGTAGAGATAGCTTAGAGAAATTTTCAGATTCACTAGTTGTGTGGGGTTCTTTTGGGTTTTTTTGCTTGTTTGTTCAAAACACTGATTCTGCTACACTGCAGGCTGACCTTGAACTTAATATGTAGCTCAGGCTGCCTTCAAACTCATGATGTAGCTCAGGTTAGCCTTGAACTCACAATCCTCCTGCCTCAGCCTCCCAAAGTGCTGTGATTACATGTATGTGTCACCATCCCTGGCTTACTTATTCCTTCCTTTTTTTTTTGTACCAAGAATGGAACTACAACCTCACGTTTGCCAGGCAGACAAAATGCCGCTGAGCTATATCCTCGGCTGCTTATTCATTCTTAAACCATGTTTAGTCTGGACTTACACTCTGGAGCTGTCTCATCTGTTGTATTTAATATTTAAAGTAACACTTTTATTTATATGTAATCAATTCCCTTACATATTAAGTTGATTTCATGTCTGCCACATTTTATTTAATTACTTCCTGACCCATTATAAAGACAGGATCACTTCCCTTTATGTTTTTAATATCATTACATTATGTTTATGGGCTTTGCCAGAATCATCTAGCTAAAATGGTCATGGAGAATATCTCCATTCTAAAAGGTGATTTGGTTAAAGGTCTCTAGAATTAACTGTCATACTGCAGTTCGCCACTTTGGTTTGTATACAAGTTCAGGGTTATTTTTTTCTCAATTTTGGGTTTTTTTTAAGTTGTCTTATCCCCCCCATCTCTCCTTGTGCATCTTCTATTTGGGTTAGAGGCTGTTTCCATTCTGCTCTGAGTTTCTCAATCTAGAGCTAAGAGTTAATGACAAATGCTTGGCATTATTTTGCTTAGGAACATAATGTGTCCAACCAAGGAACCAGAAGGAGGCTTGGCTGAAGCCTCTCACCGTACAATTAAGTGCATGGTTGTCTGCTGTCAGCTCATGAGACAGAATCTGACACAGTGCTATGAAGCTGTGTGCACTGTTAGGGGATCAGGACAAACATTCTCAACACTGGTTCATAAATAAGGAGAATAAATCCAGCCCCTGGGTTCAAGGCATTTAACCTGGGCAGTCCGCTGTCCTTAGCGGGCCACTTTTAATCCACTTTATCCCGAAGGTGCCGAATGCTGACACTGTCATTTCTAAGAGCTCTGCAAGACCATACAATTATGGTTTTATGATGCTTTACCTTTTACTCATGAAAGTGTTCATTTAACGTGTGAGGTCAACTGTCATTTTAGCTTTCTCTTTTTATAATGTATTCATGATTGCTATGTTTTTGGATCAGAGAGCAGCCCTTTCATGTAGTAACCTGAAAATTCTCCAGTATTTTATTCATAGCAGCCCTTCTGTCTAGATGATGTGACACAGGATATTTTTACAAAGTTCAGCCTTTAGTAACATTATGAAATGCAGTACAGCATGTAGAATCATCTACAGAGTGTATTACATTTAGTTTTTTTGTAAAATGCTTGTGGAAGACAAGGGTAATTATCTTTTTCTCGATTTCACTGAAGCAACAGATCCCCTATGAAAAACATCATATTGTATGCCATAATTACATTCAATTAAAAACTGAATAAAATGTAAGACTTTGCTAACCATGGACTTAAATAATATATTACTAAATAAATAAATCAAAAGGCTATGTAATTTTAGTGCATCTTTCACTGTTGATTAAAAATATTTTGTTGACTTAAATATTTTGTAACAAAGGCACCAAAATAAAGCAAATTTCATCCTCTTCCAAGGAAATCTCCTGTGCTGACTTAAATCAAATAAAGCAAAACACATGTAAGTCATACGTACGGATAAATTGCTTCTTTAATGTTCGTGAAAATCTGTTTCCCAATCATTATGATGGTCAACTGGGTTGTCAACTCTACTAAACAGCCCCCAGGATCACACTAGTTGGAAGCAAAGAGGGGAGAAAAATGAATGATAGAAGACAGAATTTTGCAACTAAAAGAAGCACCAAAGCATTACTTTAGATATTCAAGATTTTAGTTTGGGAAAGTACATTAAAGGGATTAAAGAGATATTCAGCCATATAGTTCCAAGCATGATCATAGCCCAGTTCCAGGCTATGCAGAGTAGATTCCTATACAATTTCTGAGTCTTTACATGTGGCTGAGGTCAAGGGTCCATGTTTATTCTCCAAGTAATCTGGATGTTCAGCCAACATTGAAAATCATTGACCTTTAGCCCAGAGTGAAGTCATTTCTCTGAAATTGATTATGAATCTTTTGTAGGAAGCCACCGGGAAATAAAGATATTACTTATTTTACATGTCTGTTTTACAACCAAGCCAAAGGCATCATTATAAATTCTTATTCATAGGAACTCAAAATTCTCACAGATGAAAAGATTCGCCCATGAACCCTCAGTGCCTAGATTTCGCTTGCAACTTGGTAACATTTGAGTTAGTGCTGGGCATAATGAAAATCCTCAGTTAATAATGAGTTACTGAAGGTATACAGCTGAACTCTCTAGAGAATTCTTACCTCCTCACTTCTCCACACATTAAATAAATACGTGTATTTTCCAGGATAGCCCACAAACTTCCCTTTAAAGAAAGCTACGTAGAAGCAAGACGAGTAAAAATTCACAAACTGAAACAGGAACATTTTCAGAGTAAGACTGCTCTCGTATTCCTGGTAAGTTCGAGGAAGTTCTGTTAAGTAAAAAAAAAAAACAATATTTAGTGCCTTTTCCAGGTTCTTTTTCAATTTTGCACTCACTGGGACAGGGGGACATACAGTAATATTATTCTGAAGGTCTGTGGAAATCTTCCCACTCTGGTCTTAGAAGAGCAATGTGGGGTAACTATGAATTAGTCTAGGCTTTCTGTTGACACTCTGTAAATCTAACTTCTGGAACAGCCTAGGAAGCAGCTATTGTCACATTTAGATAATGGAATACTTTTCTGGGGGTCACAGTCAGAATTTGGAACTGAAATCCCTTAAAATCTGTCAAGATTATAGACTGAAACTAAAGGACATTGTGTAAATATTTCAAATTTCTATCCTTTGTCTGTTTTCAATCACGTTTAAACAATGTATAATTGCACCACAGGTACAGGTGATTTTCAATGGGACTGGGCTGTCCTCTCATGAATTAAATGACTGTATGATAGCAGATGGCAGTGGAAAGAGGACACAGTTTCCTCCTTTATTTAAAAAGCATACTTGTGATTAGTCACTTAACAAATTCTGAAGATAAGGAATTATTAAACTATCTTCATACCACACTAGAGCAACATGAAGTGCAAAAGAGGAATGGAATGTGTTTTTCTGAATGGAGTTTTCAGGACATTAACTGTTCCCGCCAAATCCTTGATGCTTTCAGAAATACTGAAATAGCAACAAATTATTCGAAGACACAGAGAATGCCTCCATTTTAGTGAAGTCCTGTTGCATCCTTAAAAATTCTCTAATAGGAATTCAAGTGATTTTTCACACTGGAAAAAGCTCTGACCACTTAGTCGCCTTTAGAAAATAATCTGTTCTAATTTTTTTGCTTTTGCCAGCAGAGGAAACAAAATAAAATTGAAAGCGGACTCCCAACTTGAAGATGGTTTGTAAGGAGGGTTCACGGGTTTCACCTGGGGCTGGGTGGAGACAGTGCTCTTGCTGCCTACAAGGGATCTGGGATCAGCACACAGACGAGGGGAATGGCGTGTGCTTCTGGGCAGAGCACCGAGCGAGTACAGACTGGTATATCCACTGTGGAAATCAGCGTGGAGATTCCTCACAGAGCTAGGATTACAGGTCCCATTTGACCCAGCTAGTCCCCTTCTGGGTATCTCTCCAGAAGAACTGAAAACATCACACCACTGCGATATATGTGCACCCATGTTTACAGCAGCCAATTTGTTATAGCTCTATCTTGGAAATAACCCAAATGCCCATCAAGAGAGGAATGGATAAAAAAGATGTGGTATTTTTTTACAATGGAGTGTTACTCAGCTATACAGCAAGATAAATTCGAGGCTTTTATAGGTAGGTAGATGCAACTGAAGACCAAATTCATAAGTGAAATAAATCAGGCTCACACGTATAAACATCATATTGTCTCCCTAGTGTGATAAACTGAAAGAGTAAATAAGATCCAAAAGGTACAATAGTATATTGAAAGGGAACGAAACTGCTCAAAACACGGAACAATTGGGATGGGGGAAAGGAGAAACGAAGGAAGGGGTAAGTACATACATATATAACACATATACTATAGGGGCTGGGGATTTAGCTCAGCGGCACAGCGCCTGCCTGGCAAGCACAAGGTCTTGAGTTCGGTTCCCTGTACTGGAAAAAAAAAAAACTAAAAACAAACAACATATATATATATGAAAACTAAAATAATTTTACTACTAATTTCTATTAGTTCATTGAAAGGAACAGTTAGTGCTTATACTGTTTGATCAATTTTGCATGTCTACATCTGGTAAGCTGAACAACTACTTTGAAGGCAACAATATGCAATATAATAACCACTGTTAATTTCGTATCTTGTTTTGAAATTCTGTATCATTTTTATTGGGCCTCTTTATTCTCTTTAAAATAAAAAAAGGGAGATGACACCTTGGTTTGAGCCTTTCATCTCATCCCTAATTTAACCACAAGAACAGAAGGAATTCTGTTCTATGCCCTTCTTTTGAACTGTATCTTTTTCTTGCTTGTGACCTTCTGTACCTTCCCTCATGGCTTCAGAAGAAATTGTAAAACTTTACAAAGACAATGATCCCTGATCTAAGAGATGGCCCTTGAAGAACAAAGCACTCAGTGAGATTTATTTAGCAGGATTTGATGTTCAGTTTTTCTAATGATGGTTTCCAGATCATATATCCTCTAAGAGTCATTCACTCTAAATCAGATTCTCAGTGGTGTCATGATCACATGAAGCTTTTTACTCAGGATTCAGCTACTCCCCTCACGGGAAAAGTAACATAAGAATACTCAAAATGACTTTAGGTGTCCTAACGCTGTCTTTTAGGACTCCTTCTCTCCCTGCTTCCATTAGGATGGGCCTGAGTACGACCCTTAGTCGATTCTGAGGTATCAGGTGTGGGTCTACCCAGGGAACAAAACCACTTGAAATATGCACTTAGGAAATGAAACTCTTTGGGAATGAAAGGATCCTGGCGGATGTACTGGTAGGAGTCCACTTTCTGATCACCACACTGGGCTAGCTTACCCATTTTTGTAATCCAGGCAGAGATTTTTTCATAAAAGAAATTCAAGATCAAGATGACAATAAAGTTCAAGCAGGATCCTGTCAGTGATGTGGCCAGTTGGGGAGTGAAGAACTGTCTGACTTCCTGTAAGGATGCTTCACTTTCCATGAAGCTCGCAAACGCGGCAAAGACCGACAGGCGGTACACGATCACAGCCACCATGCTGGTGACCACAAGAGCCATCTGGGCAAAGGAAATAAATCGGTCAGGCTGGTCTTGGGATCTCTGTGAGGCCTACAGATCTGCAGCATGTCCTATTCTCATCATCTTGCTGTATGAACTTCAGCAGCTCCGGCATCCAAAGTAAACTGAGTCAGTCTGAGTTTGTCAATTAACAAGTTAATAGGGGGTGGGAAACGAACAATAGCAAAGTAACAGGGGTTGAAGATGAATCACTTAGCAGCGGCAGATTAGATGTAAATAGAACAAGTATACTCATTGCGAGGCCTCTAGCAGGGTTTGGCAAAGACGTCAGAACGTGAAGTCCTACTCACGGTCTTGTCTGTTTTTATAGGTGCTTTAAGTAAAATTTTGTGCTGCCTTTTTAAAGGTTTCAAAGAAGAACAATTATGTATCAGAAACTTTATGCAGCCATAAAACCTAAGTTACATTTGGCCTCCTTACAGAACTAAATCATTTCACAGTTGCTGAATCATTTTCTAGGAACAGTTCCATGTTTTCTGGATAAATTCTGGACACTCCCAACATTGCCAAAGCACAAAGTTATTTTATTTTGTTGTTGTTGTTTTGTCTTTTTGAGACAGGGTCTTGCTATGTAGTTCAGGCTGGCCTTGAGCTCACTTTGTAGCCCAGGCTGGTCTCAGATTTGCTACAGTCCTCCTGCCTCAGCCTCCCAAGTGTTGGGATTACAGGTGCGCACCACCACACCTGGCTACGAAGACGGTTTTAGATCAATCATTAGAGAATTTTATTCTAAAAGTTGAAGAAACAAAAATGGAATAATTTTTCTGGGACTATAATCCAGAATATTTCTTATGGTGAGTCCGAAATTGATTACTGTCCCCCTTTTATTCTCTTAAGAGTCCTTTTTGCTTGTTATATAATCTAAGAAATCACTTTTTTTTTTTTTTGTCTTTTTGAGACAGGGTCTTGCTATGTAGTTCAGGCTGGCCTTGAGCTCACTTTGCAGCCCAGGCTGGTCTCGAACTCTCAATGATCCTCCTGCCTTAGCCTCCAGAATGCTGGGATTACAGGCATGCGCCACCACGCCAGGCTTAAGAAACACTTTTACAAGCATTTTTAAAGTAGAAAAATATGTTTAGCAATATGTATTATTACAGAGATCCCAAGACCAAAGAAATATGTTTAGCAAGAAATGTTAAAAATAAAAGGTGCATGCACTAAGGAATTTAAATTAGCATCTACAACTGCTAATTGTTTTAATTTAAATTTTTTATGAATGTGTTATTACTAGTGCATGTTTGCAGTATAGGGTGATGATATTCATTGTGGGGAATCTGTACATATACATAATATATCTTAATTCCTTTTCTGTCTCCTTCTTCTCCCATCCCTCTCTGCTTCCTCCAACTCTTAATCACCTTCCCATTTGAAAAACCTCTATTAATTTATCTGTACTTCCATGCACTAGCCCCTCAGAAGGTCACATAGTCTCTTTCTTAAAATCACAGACCATGGGGTCAAGTTTGGAAAGGGAATTGACCATAGAGATACAGAAATCTCTTAGCAAAAAAAACTGAAGAAATATTGACTCATTCACAATAAAATATATAAACTAAATAATTCAGATGTGCTTATTTCAGCAAGAGAATGACATTTAATTGTATGTGTTGCTTATTCATTTGCGCAGATATTTTAAGTAAACAGTGGTAAAGACAAATTAACGTTTGTTTTAAACCTAACCAGAACCTCCAATGAAAATAACTTTGTTGTTCTGTTCCTGTTTCAAGTTATTGCTTAAATAGAGAACTGTTGTGAGATCAGGAGAAACAGGCTGTAAGATAAAATATCTCTCTGTTCCTCTAGATCATTCCCCAAAGTTAAACTATAGAAAGTCCTTGTAATGAGAGTTTATTTTATGTAAGGGTATGACAAGATAAAAAGACCATCAAGAAGGAGGAGACGCTCCAGAGGCACTGCCAAGGAAACTGCCGAATCGTTCTGCATGATTAATTTCCTGGTAGACTGATGATAATATCCTTTAAAGACATGCTCACCCACAATGTCACCGTGGCTCCTGATAAGAAGTACCATGGAATATGACGAAGCAGAGGCATATGAGGTTCCATCTCCTGTAATGGTAAAGAAATCACCAAAATATTCAACATACGCCCTCCAAGTCGGTACTCCAAGCAGCAGTGCAGAGGTAGATTTGAACCATCAGCGAAGGGCTCCGAACCTAGCATATGGACATTTACATTCTAGAACTGGTATCTTTCCTCGAAGTAGAAACTGTGTGGGCCCCTAGATGAGAGAACTTAGACATCATAAGAGACACAGAGATGCATGCTACTTCCTGTTAATGCCCTCAGATAGGAGACGGATGTCAAAACCTCACCACTGCTAATTAAGTAGATTATCAGGTTAAAACCTGCATTTTAACCTCGTTGAGTTGTAATAATCGCCATGCTCTGCATATATTAAATCGGGTGTCTCTCCTATATTTATGGCATAAACTGTGTTTCTCCCCACAATTCAGCAGCTTATCTGATGTTTCTGCTTTCAGGCTTAAAGATATTAATGGAAAATTTTAATTTTAGGTTTGTTAACATTCTCCTCTGCATCAAAAGTACGTATCAAAAAACAAAGCAAAACAAAACAACAACTATGCATTAAAAACAAGTTGCCAGAGAAATCTAAAGCACAAAATTCTCCCAAATAGAAGACTTCACAATTTAGGAAATTTCAGTGTAGACTGAACCGAAGGCAAAAAGCACTCTCAAGGGTAGAGTAGGCTGTTTCAGGGGACTATAGAACATCAGAATGTGTGCATGTGTGCATGGATGTGATTTGTTGTACAACTGTTCATGCATATGCATGCAATGTACATATGTTAGCGCATATTTGTGCATATTTATGTGTGCATGTGTTTGTGCATGAGTGTGCTTGCAGTGCCAAAAGAATATGAAAATTTTGATACTTAAACATCAAAGAAGTCATAAAAGGATAGCTGGGATAATTGTACTGCTGATGTATATGGGTTTATTGAAAGGAAGAGTTAATACTTAAAATTTTAGTTTTCTGAGCAATTTTGCATGATTATGTCTGGTAATCTGAACAACTAATGACACAACATGCAATATAACAGCCATTGTTGAATCCCTACTACCTTGATTAGTGAAATTCTGTATCATTTATAATTTTTTTATTATTTCATTCTCTTTAATTTGATCAATCTTGCATTTTTACATCTGGTAACCTGAGCAACTTTGTTGAAGATAATATGTAATATAACAACCATTGTTAACTTCCTATCACCTTGTTTTGAAATTCTGTATCATTTTTATTGTTTTTGTGTTGCTTTGTTTTAGTCTTGGCTGTTGTTATTCTGTTTCCTTTTCTCTTTAAAAGTCTGTAAGGAAAAAACCCCACTTCTTGATTTCAAAATCTACAAACCTAGCTCAAATGAAATGAGTAAACGAATTACAGCAAATCAACAGTAACTGCCTCTCAAATATTTCCAAAACTGCCTCTCAAATATTTCTCAAATATTTCCAAATATTTCCAACATTTAATATACCTTTTCCCATGTTAAATTTTTGGTAAAGGCAAGATGCTTGTTTCCATTTTACTTTTTGTATCATGAAATGGGATTAAAATTATCATTATTCTGCCAGTATCCCTTTATAATTTCAAACACACATTCAAATTGTTGATGTATTTTCTGAGGCTTTCTCCTTTATTTACTTACTGATTTTTTGTGAGCTTCTAATGTAATGTATTTTTTAAATTTTTAAAATATTTATTAGAACATATTTTCAGTACATACATTGTGGGTAGTTGACACATGTACAGGACACATTTAATTTCTTTTTCTTTCCCTACCCCACTCACCTTCATCCATCTCTTGTTCTTCTTATTTGCAAGAGATCTACATCCCCTTTTCCTTACTATTATCTATTTTGCTCTTTATTTATATTGTGGGTTTCTCATCTAACAGAAATCATGTATATTTAAGCTTGTGTGTCTGATTGATTTCATCTAACATTAAAGTCTCAAGGTGCATCCATTTTCCTAAAAATACTCAAGTTTATTCTTTTTTGTTTTTCTATTTGTTTTTCTTCCAGTACCAGGAATCGAACTCATGACCTTGCGCTTGCCAGGCAGGCGCTTTGCCACTGAGCTAAATCCCCAGCCCCTCAAGTTTATTCTTCATGGCTGAGAGGTACTATACTGTGAATAAATACTACTTTTTCTTCATTCGTTCATCTGGTGATGGACTTATGAGCTACTTCCAAGATTTAGTTTTGTGTGATGGACTGCTACAAACATGGGTATGCATGTGCCGCTGTAATATGATGTCTTTAACTCTTTTGGGAAGATAGAAAGGGATCAATTGGGTCAAATGAAATCTGTAGTTTCATTTTTTAAGGTTGATTTACATATTTTATTTTAGTTTATTTGTAGGTTTGCAGCAGGTACTGACTGCATTCATTGCAGGGAGTGGCAGATTTTTTGAGGAATCTCTACACTGATTTCCACAATTGCTCAACGAGTTTACATCCCCACCACAGTGTAGAAGGGTTGCTTCTTCCCTGCAGCCTCACCAGCATTTGTTATTATTTTATTTCCTAATGATAGCCATTCTTTCTAGAGTAAGAGGAAAATTTAAATTTTGTGGTGAATTTGTAAATTGTAAAAATAATTTTAAGTGCTGATTGCAAGAACGGTGCTTCGAACAGAGAAAAGACTGTGTTTGAGACAAATTTTCTTTTTTTTTTATCCTGGACTAGAGATTGATCCCAGGGCCTTTGCACTGAGCTATATATGCTCAACACTTTAAGATACTTATTTTATTGTATTTTTTATTGGTACATGTTTACAGTGCATGTAGTTCACAGTCATTTTTGGGAGTGGGTATAAATACATAACAATTTTGAAACAAAGTCTCACTAAGTTGCTAAGTTGTTCAGGCTGGGCTAGACCTCGTGAGCCTCATGCTTCTGCCTCCCAGAATGTGGGGGTTGCAGGTGTGGCTGCCCTCTACGCTCTTGTTAACAGGAGCAGATAACACAGAGACCCCTGTTCAAGGGAAAACGGAGACTCTAAGAATGTGTGGCTAAGGCTCTGTTCTCTGAAGGCAACGTGCTTGCACTCTCAAATGAGAAAATTCGAGTATCAACAAGTTAAACCACTCAGTCAAGAATACACAGTGAGTTTGTCAGTTAAGGATTCTTGAATCTTGAAACTTAGTGAGACTCTATTTCAAAAAAAAGAAAAAGAATTAAAAAGAATGAGGATGTAGCTCAGTGCAAAGGCTCTGATTTCAATCCCCAGTAAAAGGAGGGGGAAAATAAAACAGAAGAAAAAGAGACAAGGTCTCAAACACAGTCATCCAGTCACCAATGCAATTACCTTCCCAACACGATCAATAGGAAGAGACCGCATGAGCACAATTTGGTCATATAAAACACTCACTTATAAATCCACTTAATACAACTACTGTTTTATTTCTTCATATTACATTAGCATCCTTTCCCTTTCCATGTCTATGTATTTATAGATAACGCAGCCCACAGCATACATGCTATTTTGTTTGTTCTCACTTAGTATTAAAGCTACATGTTTCATATTCTCAGGTCTTGTTTGCATTAAACCATTCACTTTCATCTATGGGCAGAAAGTCATGAGGTATCAATGAAAAACGCTGTACATGACATAAAAATGATTGAAGATGAGTAAAAGGTCTATTTACGTGCTTATTACACTGTACCTTCGTCTCTATTGTGTTTGAACTTTTTCATATGTATATAAACAAGAGTATATTTATAGATTACAAACAAGTAAGAATGTTTGAATAATTTATATGCTGGGGAATTTTTAAAGGCAAATGAAAATAGACATCATTATTATTTGAGAAGTACCCTACAGCAGAATGCCCATCAAAGGCATGGTCCATTCTCCAGCCCTCCAGGGTACCTTTGTGATGGCATTCATTTTCCTGTGCTTGCACATGGCTTCGAACTCGGGTCTCAGCTGGTGCTGCTGCTGTTCCTCCTCGAAGTCCACCAGATCCCACTCATACCCCAGCCTGGCTTGTCGCTGTTTCCAAAACTCCAGAAACAGCGTGACTAGAGATGAAGAAACGGGTAGAAACAAACATGAACAAGAGGTGGCAGAGAAATGTTAATGAGAAAACAATTTCCTCCCACCTCTTCCTTCAATCACTTTGGCTGCAAAGGGGCCCCTATTTTTTAAGTAGCTGTTCTAGCACAGGCGATGAAATGACCAATTACTAATGTTGCTTTAATGTTACAAAATGACATTCAAATAATTCCTACACAGAAGTTACACAGTAGATCGAGGATCTACACAAAGATCAAGGGAAGATCTTTGTACACAGTAGATCAACGGAATTGTCTTCAGGCACATACCATTGTTCCTCCATTCAAATCACTGGATGTAATATTTAAACTTAACATTTTACTAAAGATTGAGGGGTTTTTTGCATGTACCTTTACTGAAATCATTCAAGTCAAACTATCATTTTCTCAAATTAAGACAAATGTTTTCTATGAAGCAGATTTAAGGGAAACACAAGGGAAGTATTAAAGAGATTTAAGAGAAATATGAGAGCTATAATATATTTATTAAAAAATATAAATATAAGGGAAATATAAGCAGATTTAAAACTATGTATGTCTAATATTATTTCACTTAGGCAAACACATCTCTCTCTCCTGCTTTCATCCACACACACACAAATTCCCATACATTCAGTGCATGTGTGTGTGTGTCCATTGTCAACTTTTAATTGAGAAATAGCATGCAGAAAAGTACCTAAAACATAAGTATACAGTTAGGAGAATTTTCACAAAATAAACACACGTATCAGCACCGACATGAAATACGGTGAACATGACCAGAACTACAGGAGGTTGCCCTGTGACTCTTCAGACAGAGGTAACTTCACAGGGTAACTCCGCCTAACTGTGAAACTTGCACAAATGCTATCACACAACTAAAAGTTTTTGTGTCACACCCCTTTGTTGGAGAGGATGTTTCCACTTTGCTGCTGTGTGCACAAGAGTCCATTATTTTCACTGATATGCACAATACTGTTTGAAGAAGCCACAATTTTATTTATTCTTCTATAGGTGAGCACTTAAAATGCCAATTTTCTCTACCGCAAATAGTGCTGCTTTGAAGATACTTGTATGTGTCTTCTGGTGGATGGATGGACATATATATATATATGGAGGATGGAATACTAAGATGAGATCAAATTATTTTATCATAAAAGAAAGATTCAAATTTTAAAGTTTGCTCCTCATCCTCTAATCTAGAGAAAAGTAATGAAGAATTACGGATTCTAAGTGTACATCTTAAAATCCTAATCATATCATTTTGTAAAAAAAAGTATCATTGTACTTATTTAACTCCTCTTTCTGTACCCAATGTATTTCTTTCCAGTGCAAATGTGTTTATCGCTTGAATGGTAGTTCTTTGCTTGTTCATAATGTGATTGCATGAATTTGGCTATTTCAGATACTTTCACATCAGCTGAATCACACAGTATCTCTCCTTCTATGACTGTCGTATTTCGCTGCCAATTTTCATCCATGCTGCTACATGTTACAGAATTTCCTTTTTTGTAAGCCTTAATAATCCTGCACTGCATACATTTTCTTTATCAATCTGTCTGCCAAAGGACTTTTGGGTTATTTCCACATCTTCTTATTATAAATAATGCTGCAGTGAACATAGGATTGGTAGTATCTCTTCAAGATCTAGACTTCTCATGCAGAAATACCAATCATTCGTGAATCACTAGTATTCCACTGTCAATTTTTTGAGGAACCACTGTGCTGTTTTACAGAGTGACGCTGCTACTTTTGTGTTCCCATCAACAGGACACATGTGTTCCCATTTCTCCACATTCCCACACACATGTGTATTCTCCCTCTTTTCTTTAAGCAGCCACTTGTAGAGGTGTGAGGTGGTTTCTCTCTGTGGTTTAAATTGGTAATTATTGACAACACAAAGCCACTGCACACCTTTTCATATAAATGTTGCCCATTTGTATGCCGCATATTCCCTAGAGAGAACTTCTAAAAATTTAACAGACATTTGGCTTGGGCCTCGTAGGCTGAGCTTGCCTAGGACTCGATCTTTTTCACATACAAGGAACAATGCACTTAGCATTCCAATTATTTATTTATGCAACATACGCATGAATACAAAATATAAGCCCAGACTTGGAACTATGGTGATTAAAATCATGGGTGTTGCTCTAATGTAGCAAATCTTCTGGTTCCTGATTAGCTTTTAACAGTTAGACCCATGAAGCCAAAAATATGCATATTTTAATCACTATTTTGTACAACAACATATGTGCTAAAGTTATAATTTTAAAAATCCCTGCTGAGTTATGTTAAGCTATAAATAAAATGAAACTATTACATTTCTGGAATAAAGGAGAGGTAAACATCTTACTTGGGAAGGTTTTTCCAAAGACATGCATTAAACAAGATTTAGTTACAAAGGGAAATTTTATGACCATGTTACACGCATTGAAATTTCTACTATGAGCAAAGGGTAAAGCAAATTGAAAAAACTGTTTATTATCCAAAAGCATCTAGGACTCTGTGCAGCTTTGTAGGAGTTAATCTCAAGTAAGAAGAATTAAAGTATCAGGGATTTAGCCCAGCCATAGAGTATACCTGGGCTCAGTCTCCAAAACTGAACAAAATAGGGCTTCTAAATTAGTATAACAATCTGGACTTTCAAAGCCTAGGAGAGCCAATGGATGGTGAATAAATATTAGAAAGACGTTCAATCTTACTTTGTAATCAATTGCAAAAAATAATCAGATAGTATCTTATACTGTAAATGACAAAACGTCTGCAAATCTCCAGGCTTACCTATGGCTGGAGCACAGAAAAGACAGAATGCTCACAGAAACTTAAATGGGTGCAACTTAACATAAGTCAGTATAGGAATACATAGCAAACCTTTAGAACTGTACATAGAAAGTTTCCCCAGAAATTCACTTAAGCATTTATTCTTAGAATGAAATTATGCATACATAAAAACATGTTTATTCTAACATTATTCCTAATGGTGAAATAAAGTGTTAGTGATCTAAACATGCAACATTAGAATATTTGTTCCATAAAATGCGATAAATTCTTATAAGGCAATTCTATTCAGTTATAAATACAGCTTTCTGCAGGTTATGTGTATGTGGATGTGACACAGTCATACACATTCACTGATGTGGAAAGAGTATTTTTATTTCTTGCTTTTGAATATAAGAAGCAGATTTATACCTATATATGTATAATATTATGTCACTTATGTAACATTATGTGAACACGTAAGGCCCACTTACATAGAGCGACAGGTTTTGAAAAATTATGGCCAAAATAGTGATCATATTTTGAGTGTTGCTAATATTTTTTCCACTTATACATATTGGCTTATTTTCCTGTGCAGGTTATGTATTTCCATAATGAACACCCTAAATATTTAAAAGAAAAACTCTACCCTCTACCAGAAAACAGTCTTCATTTTTTGTTCTGAATTCTTTGGACCACTATTGATTCATTAACCTGTATTATCTTTTCTCTGTATCTACTCCACAAATATAGCACTTCATTCAACTTAACTATTTACAGGAATTTGTCCTACAAATATCTTCTAGAGTTTCAGTTTTCATAGTGCAAGCTTTCATGCTGCAAGCTTTTCTAAGAGAAATCACTGACCTTTTCAAAATTTTATAGTGCTACTGGCCATCTGATGCAAGGCCACTGCTCTGTCTCTGATGAAATATAAAGGTCCTATTGGTACACATACTCTCTCCCAGGAAACAATTCTCAGAAAGTGTTCTGAAAACACTTACTGAATATTTTCTGTAATAGTGCAGAAGGAAGATTTGTCAGCCTCATGGTGAAGAGATGTCTATTAACCAACTTGCCAAACTGGATTGGCTGGTGAATTGCGGGAAAGATTTCTTGATCACCTGTTCTTTGAATATGGACTGATTACTTTACAACAAGCAATCAGGCAGAAGGGACAGAGACCCATAAATCTCTCCACTTTGCACAAATCCCTCTGCTTTGAGGTCATTTTACCTGAATAGAGCAATTCTTGTCCAGTTTTCAAATGTAGATATTTGTTTGGAAAAGGCTCTTTTTAATTGGAAAGTAAGTATATTTTGCCCAAGTCCCCATGTTTAAAAAGTAGATTTTAGATAAGTTTGTAGGCTTCCTTTGACTAAATTATTCTTGAATTATCCTCTCTGTTAATAGGAGCAACTCCATAATATTTTCCATCTGAAAAGGAAAAAAAGTAAAGCACTGGATGGGACATTTCCAAAGTTAAGGGAACACTATAGGGAAAATTTTTATCAAATGAAGCTGAAGACTGGATTTAGAACTAGACATAGGAATAGAGTCAAGGATTATTTAATACCCCCCCACAACAGTTTCTGATCCTTGTTCCAGAGTATACCTTTGATTCAGTGTCTTCTAGTTATTAAATATGTGTGTTTAATCTCTCCTGGATTAAGTGCTTATTAAACCTCTTTTCGCTCTGGCACTGCAACAGACAGCCTCACAATTTTACATCTCAAAATTACCTTGTTTCTTGGAGCAATGGGCATTTGTTCATAGAGACCTTTATGAAGCAAGGACCAAAGGCCTATGATTCCATCAATGTGTTGATCTCAGCAAAGACACAGTCGTCTCAAACCACCTTCAGAGTATAAAATATGCTATCCGAATACATTATTTGGATCAAACATATAACATCTAATATGGAGAAAGCTGTCTTTATGGGAGTACATACTCACCCCATATTCCCATGAATATTGCAAAGAACACTGTTGACTCATTATCAAATAAATGGGCAAACTGTAAAAATAACAATAACAACAACACAAAGACACTTAGTATCCAATGCAATACCAAAGAAGCAAAATTCCAAGTCTTTTCAACACACCACCATGCACACTTACCTTTGAAGCCCAGCACGTGGTATTTAGTCTCCAGTACTCACACACTCGATCACAGAGCGGGCACATGATCATCTGACCGCCAATGTTAGGGTCGCAGATTTCCATGCTGCCCAAGGAAGTGTGAAGTTCTTTGAGAAATGATGAGGTTTGAGATGAAAATCTTAGCTAATCTTAGCAGAACAACCACTTACATAGCTTCTCACATATAACAGAGGGAGTAAGAAGACAGCAGTTTCTACAGGGGGTCAAGGCATATTTTCAGGAACAGATTTTTCATAGCTCATCCTTCAAAGGAGACTTTCTATGCAACACCCAATGAGGGAAAACTAGTGTTTGTGTTACCCTCAGAAACATCACTTATTTACCAACGTAAGGAAACACCAGGCAAATGCCAAGGAAATAATAATAACAGAAGCAGTCAGCATGAGCTAAAGATGCTTTCTCTAGGCATCTCGCTGTTCTTACCTGCTTGGGTGACTGTCCATTGATAATAAGCCATAAATAAAGCAAGCTAAGCCAACCAACGCTGCAATGAACAGCATTTCTGTGTAAAAACCAAGAAAGACAAAGTAGATAGCAATTTTTTCTCCATAATAATCCCTGCGAAAGAGAGTGAAAATAGAATCTGAGGTTAGAAGAATGTTGTCAACCAAAGAGCCCTAGTTTTGTATTTAGACAGGCATGTTTTCTAACACTGGCTTTGCTGCCATCTGGTCATGTAATTTTGGTAAAGTTACTCACCTCTCTGAACTGTACTTTCTACACAGTAAACCACAGAACAACGCTTATGCCATAGCGTAAGAATAGGTGTAGGACTTACATGAATTAGCATAAAGGAGAAGGAAGCCTTTGAATGGAACTTAAATTTTGGACAGTAAGACTGAAGAGCTCTCAATTTTGAAGAAAGTTGAATTACTTTTGAGATAAACTACAGAATATTCTGTAAAGCAAGTTCTGTCAATAAATGTAAGGAATCAAGGTCACAGTCGTCACCTTCCTGGACTCTTCCTTTCCCACTCTCTGAAACCCGAAGAAGGCACACTGACCACACTCTTCATATGAATTTTCATCTTCTGCCCAGTCTGGCCCTTTGGTACTCAGAAGAGTTGTGATGAGGAATTAAAAACTACTAAGTGAAAATTCCACAAAATATGCAGCTCAGCTTTTGTTCAGAAAGAGTTGAGAAGACAGAATCAGTGAGCATAAATGTTCCTCTCAAATCTAAGTTCTGTTACTTTTTTAAAACCAAGTTCCCTTTAGGCACCCGAGAATGTAGTTTACTCTGCCTCAGAAAACCAGGTTTTATTGACTTAAACTGATTAACCCTTATCTTTCTCATTATACAGACAGTTGATCAAAGCTGTGAGAATGTCCAGTTTCCTGAACAGAGATGATTTCTTTTGGGTTCTGATAGCATATAATTGGATGAAAGCATTAATATTAAATTGTAATCTCCACACAGGCTTAAAATAAGGCAATACCAAACATAAATATTGTAAGCATCATTTCCAAACAAGAAGCTTTTAACTTTGCTATTATATTATCTTGACACTTTAAAAGTACCATTCTAGCCACTAGGACTATATTTATTCTGCATAAGTATGCAGCAATATATCCACTTTACTTTTAAGCATTAAGAAGTACCAAACAGGTGATATTAGAATAAAAATTATATGAAAATATCCAATTGGAAAGAAAAAAAGGAGCTGACAGTATACATAGAATTGAAAACTGAAATACCAATGATAGTAATCTTGGTAATTCCCTTTCTTTCAAAATCATCAGTGCCCTAATGGCAAAAATACAAAAATATATGAAGATGGAATTGAAGTTTGGTACAGAGATAATGTGAAGTATGTGAAATTTAAGAGTTTATTGCTCTAAATATGGCAGGCACTGCAAGTCATCCTGTCTTCCTTTATTGTCCATATCTAATATCCACTAGGACTCAGAAACAATGTCAAAAATTATTTTCCTAATATCTGGTTTCTTTCTGTTCTTGTTACCAGTGCCTTGGACAAGATTCTCGATATGACTGGTGGAAGTTTTAACAACCTCCCTATCTCCACAACTTCAGCTTTGTTGAAGTTTTTGAAGTTGAAACCCCCTGGGGGTGCTGGGGATTTAGCTCAGCGGCAAAGCGCCTGCCTGGCAAGCGCAAGGTCGTGAGTTCGGTTCCCAGTACCAGAGAAAAACCAAAAAAAAGAAAAAAAAAAAGAAACCCCCTGGGTTTCCTCACCACACCCTGACAGCTTTCCTATCCCAGACAGAAAATTCTAAGAGAAGCATCTATTTTTATTATCCCCAGTGAAGTCAATTGCAGTATAATTGAGATACAGTAAAATATACTCGGTTTAAGGGCATAGTTCAGTAAGTTCAAAGCCAAAGTTCATGGAACCACCATTCCAATTACATGACCGGCACTTGTATCTCTTCACAACCCTCCCTTCTACAACTGTCACTAACCTTTTCCTCCACATCTAGACCTGGCTCACCACAATTCAGATCCCCCTCACAGTATTCCATTCTCCAGAATATTTTTAAGTGGAAACACAGTGCATGTTTCTCTCTGTCTCTTTTTTTTTTTTCCCCGGTAGAGGGAATCAAACTCATGACCTCACGCTTGCCAGGCAGGCACTGTGCCGCTAAGCTAAATCCCCAGCCCCTGTTTTTATTTTCTTTAGCATAATGATTTTCAGTTTTATTACTAGTTTCTGTAATTCTAAAAAAATCCACTGTTGGAATGTATGATAATTTGCTATGCAGCCGTATGTTCAAGAATATTTGGCTTGTTTTCAGTTTTTACTATAATTCCTAAATTGAGATGAACATATGTTTCTGTGCACAAATGCTTCATTTTTCTGGCTCAATACTTGCAATGGAAACTGCAAGATCACAAGGAAAGCATGCATTTAACTTTATACCAAGCTGCCAAACTGCTGTGTAAACTTGCTGGAACATAATGCCCTCCCAGCAGCAGTGTGACGGATTCCAAAAGCTCCATGCTCCCACCAGCATTTCCTGTTGGGGGTCTTCTTGATTTTCACTGTTCTAGCAGAAGTGCAGCTGTATCTAAATGACATTTCATGTTTATTCCCCTAGTAAATAATGATACTGAGATTTTTGTATGCTTATTGGTCACCCGTGAACCTATTTTTTGGCGAAGTATCTGACAATTCTTCATCCATTTTTACACTATTTTATCACCTACTGAGTTATAAGATTGTCTTATATATTCTAGATAAGTCATTTAAACTGCAAATATGTTCTACCAGTCTGTTGTTAGATTTTTTGCAACTGCCTCATAAAGCGCAACATTATAAACCCATCTAAATCAAGTATACCAGTTTTTATGGTGTTTTTTCCCCCGTCTTATCTGAGAACATCACACATATTACAAGGTCATTCAGAGTTTTCTCCTATGTTTTCTTTTTCTGTTGTTGTTCATTTAAAAGTTTTTGCAGTTTTATTTCCTATACTTTGATCCATTTCACGTTACAGTTTCCTACAGGAAAGGGTCAAGCTTTGTGTCTGGCTGATAGCTACACACTGGAACCAACATCATTTGTTGAAAAGTATGGTTCCTTCAATGAACTGCCAGGACCTTTGCTGAAAATTTGCTGAACATAAATGCATTTATCTATTTCTGGGCTTCCCGTTTACTTAAGTTTGCATTTGTAAACAGTTTCAAATATCCAAACGTTTGTGAGAATAATTCAAAGAAATTCCACATGCACTTAGATTCTTTAATTGTAAACATTTTGCTACATCTGCATCATCTATTTTTTATTTTAAAGAGAATAAAAAAATTAAAAATGATATACAACTTCAAAACAAGACGATAGGAAATCAACAATGGTTATTATATTGCATATTGTTTTCTTCAAAGTAGTTATTCAGATTACCAGATATAAGCGTGCAAAATTGGTCAAAAAACTATTAAGAAGAAAAAAAATAAAGCATTAACTATCTGCTTATCTATTTATCATCTATCATCCTGAACTTTTTTCTTCCTGAACTTTTTTCTTCCTGAACTTTTTGAAAATAAATTGAATGTACTGTGCTCCTTTACCCTGAATACGTCACTGACTATTCTTTTCCTAATTTTAAAAATTTAAAAAACTGATAAAACAATGAAGACAAGATCAAAACAACACAAAAACAACAAAAATGATACCTGACCTCAAAACAATATGATAGTAATTTACAATGGTTGCTACATTTCATACTATTATCTTCAACCAAGTTGCTCAGTCCACCAGACATAAGTATGTAAGACTGATTAAACAATCAAAGACAGTATTCTTAAGAATAAAGATATTCTCTTCCATAACCCCATGAGAAACTGTACCTGCAGTGGCTCTTTTCTGCAGCTGCTGCCTCTATGACAGTGTAACACTTTCTCTTTTGCTTTTTAAATTATCTAATTAAATTTTCATACTGTTTTTACTTATTTACATTAAATTTTCTTCTCAAAATACACATTTATTTCAAAAGCCATTCCAGGGTTTTAATAGAAACATAGTATAACTTGTTATACATGGAAATCCATTATAAGAAAAGGATGAAACACTTTTAATGTTATTAAATTTAAGCTATCAACTGTTATTCAATGAAGTATCTGAGCTTCGTCTTTGCAGTAAAAGGAAGTCAGCAGCTATCAGCAAGATATTCCAGACACACCCCACTGAGCTGCGATGTAACGTTTCTGTGTGCATCTGGGGTTATGAAAACCAACTTCTGACAAATACATTTGGCACTGTACACTTGTAGTGGACAGTTGGGTGATGTTAGGTGAACAAACGATCCAATACATTTTGAATAATGTAAAAGATGCGAACATTCATTGTGACAACTTTGTTTGTTTGAAAATATCCTGCAAAAAATATTCTCCAGCAGCAAAATATCTGCGCATGCTCCTGGCAACACTGAATGCAGCAGTGAAAAATGTGGGACAGCCTAATATTTGTCAATAGAAAAACTAATAAATAAAGCTGGGCATGGGGTACATGCCTGTAATGCCAGCACTTGGGAGGCTGAGGCAGGAGACTGCTGCAAGTTTGAGGTCAGCCGGGCTACAAAGAAAGTTCAGGGCCAGCTTGAACTATAGAGCTAGATCTTTTCTCAAACAAACAAATAATAAAAAAACCCTAATAAATTTATAGAAATTAGTAAGATTCTGCATTCTTTTCCAAAAGTATAAGACAGACATTTGTGTGAGTACAGAAAAAGATATAAATAATATATGTACCAAAAATTTCTCAGCACAAAAAGTAGGTAAAGATGTCAAAAATTATGACAGATACCTTATCAAAGAATTGTATTTATGGCTGCCCAATGAAAACATCTAAAATGTCCTTAACAAACTGTATTTGTGCACTGTTTTTCTCCTGCAGGCACTCAGAACTGAGTGGATATTCCCCAAGCTAGAGTAGTTACTTCTTTGGTGTTTAATGGAGATGGATTTTCTACTTAAAACCTTCCACATCTTTCCATTCCTTACATTATTTTCATAAATTTGCTGTGCTGTAACTTAAAAATTAAAATTCCATTATTCAAAACAATTGAAATAAGCATCTAACAGAAAAGTTTTCATAATGACTTAGAGGGAAAATATCATTTTCTAAACTGGTTAGGGTCCTATTTTATTTTTTTAAATGTCTCTGTTTGCCTTAAGCTGTTCAGATGACAATGCAATTGGTTTGGTGGATGAATCAAAATCAGTCTTGTAAACTAGATGCTGAAACGCTGTTGTACAAATTCTTGTACAGCAGTACAAAAATAAATCCAATAAAAAAATACAGCCTCTAGGAGCAAGGGATCTGCAATTTAATGGTTCCATTACCAAAATCACAGCTGAAGTCTCCTAACATCATATATACTCATAGATATTATGCATATACATATTATGCACATATATTTCAGTTAAAAACTGACATATAAATATGTCTCATACTATATATTATGCATATATAGTTCAGATAAAAAACTGCAAAACCATCATTTTGCTTAGTTAAATAAACTCTGAACAATTGAGGTTATAAAAACAAATAATTTTCCAGCTCTGACACCATCACACAGACAAATATTAATCTACTGCTTTTCTCCTACCTTCTGAATTCTTGTACTCTAAAAGAAAACAAAACTAATAGAGAAAGAAATGCTGCTGTTCCTATGCTCCAAATGTATACATCTTATTTAGTTATCAGATAACCTAAACGAAGGTACTGTTATCATTTCCACTTTGCAGCTTGCAGGTAAGTGAACTACTACGTTTGGACAGCTGTTCAGAGGCAGAACTTGCACTGGAAGTGAAGCTGGCTAAATTCAAAGGCCCAACCTCCTACCCACCTTGTTGTGTCTATTCTCTCTCATAGAGTTGGACAGTGACATTCTGCTCCCAAGTGAAATACCAATCAACAGTACACACAAGAAACAGAGAAGCTGTGAACTGGGGTCTTTGAAAATGGCAGTAAAAATAGCAGAATATGAAGCCTTTCCGAGTAAGAATAACATCAAGTTTGCATTAGTATGAGCTTGAATAAGAAACTTACCTAATCAAATCCAAAGGCTGCTCCTTGTAAAAATAGGAAAACCGAGCCCAGTTCTTATGAAGTATGTGCCTTTCATTGACAGGATTGGGAGGTTCTGATGGCTTCCAGTACTGGCCCTATAAATATTCAAGGAGAGGATAATGAAGACAAAGCAATAAATACATAAATAAATAAATAGATAGATAGATAGACAGATAGATAGATAGATAGATAGATAAAGTAAATGAACACTTACTTTTTTTTTAAAGAGTACTAGGGGGCCAGGATTAATGTTTATAGTTCATCATTCATTGAGGTGAAATTATGTACTGAAATGTATCAAAAAACTATAATCACAGTGACTTATTTATTCCGCTTGTAACAATTATTTCAGTTCAAGTTTCAGACTTTGCTTTGCTCAAGTTGTTCCTCTGGCCCAGAATGCCCTTCCTCTCTACTGAAATCTGCATATGCTATTCCAAGCACAAAGTCAGGTCACCATGGTTCTGCTTAAGACTTTAGAAATATGCCAGCACCGCAGGCGCCTGCTCTGGGAGGCCGCACGGCCGGGGAGTGTGGGCCCTTTGGGGCCCGGCGCACCTGGCCATCCAAGCGCCCAGAAAGGCAAGCAGCAGGCGCCTGGGAAGTGGCGTGGAGATGTGCGCTGGCCTTCGGGCCAGCTGCTGGCACGCAGTCAAAAATGCCATGCCACAGAGAAGCACTGACACAATAGGCCTGTCTGGAGATGTGCATGAACCATCCTGACACGGAGAAACCTCTGGGAAAACATGTCACATGGCAAGTAGCTCTTGGCCCTTCCCTTGAGAGCCAGAAAAGTCCGGAATCAGCTGAGGAGCAGCTGATGAACAAGGACTCGCAGAACACGAGAGTACCAGCGCCTGATGACTCAAGAGGTCGAGCTAACTGGGGACACGGGAGCCATTTGAGATCTGGAAACCAGGAGGACCTTGCACAAAATACCTGGGGAGACCCCCCTGGAGGCCATTCTTCCCTTAACTGTGCAGGCTGCAGTGGAGGAGTGAGTAGAGCTCCAGAGAGGTCTGCCCAGAGACTTCATGGATTACATGGGTGCCCAATATTCAGATTTTGAAGAACTGCCTTCATGGAGAAGGTAGGTGTCTAGGTTACCTGCCTGGGACACTTTGCACCTGATGGTGCTGAGACTGACTAGCGGGCCGAGGACTTCATCCACATGTTCCTGCCGCCTGTGTTGATGGTTGGGGAGAGGACACTATGGGGTTAAGGAGTCCCAATGTGCTGAGAGGCTGGAGAGAACACCTCTCTGCTTTCTTAGACAAGAGGCATTGATGAAGCATACTTCCCTGTATCCCAGTTCAGTAGAGGGACAAACTATTCTTAAAGATAAGTTTATTACTCACTCAGCCCCAAATAATAGAAAAAAGCTACAAAAAATGGCTTTTGCCCCAGATAGCTCACTTGAGATGTTAGTAAGAATGCCTCCTCAGTATTTTATAGCCGTGAGGAGGAGGCCAAGGAGAGAAAACAAAGAGACCAAGAAAAAACAGCTGCCTTTGTTGCAGCACTAAGAGAAACAGACCCTAAGTCTGATTCTTTGGGCCCCAAGAAGAATTCATTGACTACATTCATCTGCTACCACTGTCAAAAGCCAGGCCACCTCGAGAGGGCCTGCCCTAAGAAGCCCCCTGGGCCATACCCTGAGTGTAAAGGTGACCACTAGAGGTCGGACAGCCCTCCGAAGTGAAGGCCCCAGAGCTCAGACCCCTCCTACCAGCTGGTCCAACAGGAGTGAAGGGGCCCAGGGCATACTCTGCCTTCTCCCTCTGGCCAGACCATAACCTCCATGGAGAAGCCCCAGGTAATCATGACTATAGAGGAAAAAGTAAACAGCCTATTGCTGGACACTGGTGCTAGTCTCTCAGTCCTTCTTTTCAATCCTGGCCTTCCTTCCAGCCATCACATTTCAGTGAAAGGAGTCACTGGTGAGGAGGTAATCCGCTATTTTTCATACCCCTTAGGCTGTAACTACTTGTTAGATCTTTCTTGCATATCTTTGTTTTCCTGAGAAACCACTTTGAAGATACCAACATGTATTATAGCAGCCATTGATAATTTCCTACCAATCTCTCCATACCTCCATAATGTTTGTATTGTTCTTATGCAATTTCATAAATGGATGTATGTTTATTACTATGTGGTTTCAACAACAACCATTGAGAATAGTCAATGATTATTTAATTGATCACTCATATATAGCTCTATTTGTTTTCCCTAGAAATCACTTTGAAGAAACCAAAGTATAGTACAACAACTATTGATAATTTCCTACCATTTTTGTCTGTAATTCCCTATTATTTGTCTGTTTGTTTTCCTGAGAAACTATCTTGAAGATACCAATAGGTAAAATAACAACCATTGATAATGTCCTACCACTTTGTGATAATTCAGCAAATCCCCCTATTCCTATGTTATCCTTCTTTTACTCTTTTTTAAATAAATAAAAAAAAGAAAGAAATATGCCAGCAATTTGACTGTATAGATAGAAAAATTAAACCCCTAGCAAATTTAAGTAGCTGATACAGGTCGTACAGCTATAACAGAAACACTTGGCTGTACACATCGGTCATCACTGCTAACCATCTCCCAACAAATTCAAAATGTTATAACACAGTTTAGCACTTGAGAGCTTCAGAATTATTTTTTGGGTAGTTCTTCACTCATTATTGGACAACAAGTAACTATATTAATACCCCTTCATTGTCTAATATACAATTACTATGTACATAGTAGCTACTTCGTAGATCCTTTTTGTATCTATTTGTGTAGACAAATGAACTGCTAAAGGTAGCACTAAGAATATCCAGTGTAAAATGTGAAACCTTTATAATAAGGCATAAAATTTTATATCACATAGCTTCCAACTTCTCTCTTCTGTAGCTAGCGCTCCTTAATCTTGAGAAATGGCTCTCTTTAAATAAAAAGAAAGAAAAAGTAACATATTTGAGAATCTTGTAAAAATGCACTTCTAAAGCAGATAAAGGAAATTCTATTTCCTCCATTTGCATTCAGAAGAGAAAGAGGCAAAAATATAAGTAAAATTAGGTGTAACTTATAGCTTTCTCTAGTGACCAATGAGTATCACTGAGTTTCCAATGAACAAGGATAACCACTGATATTTAGAAGCATAGGTTAAAATTGTGAGTGACTGAGAATTTAAGTTTGGTTGTATGACATCACACTGAAAGGAAAAAAGAAATGAAAAATGAATAAATAAAAATTCTCACAATCTTCAAAGCATAAGATCTCTTGTGAAAGTGGACTGTCAAAGAACGTGCTGCAACAGGCTTATTAATCTACCTTGGAGCTCTCTACCAAATGTTCCTGACATTATTTAGAATCCATAATTGCCTAGGACTTTTTTTCTTGCTTGATGGGGAAAATATGTAGGTGGGGTGGGGGAAATCAGAGGAAAGAAGGGAATGGCTGGTTTCTCTAACACTTAAGTTAGATATACCTGGATTGATTCTTTTACTGAAAATAGCCACTCACTTTGGAAACCTCTACTCTATCCTTACGGGAAATCTATCAAAATTAGTAAACTAATTAGTGTTGACTCAGAGTCAGTTCTCATACTCTTTATTAGCAGAGTATGGCAATATTTTAAATACTAGGGAACAGAATGCTTTGGGCTTCTGGAAATTACTGCAACAATACCACCTTCAAAAACCAGGAAATGATTGCCACTTGTTTCTATGGAAATAATGCTGAGGAATGTGTTTGTCAAAATCCCTTTTATATGTATGAAAGAGTAAAACTGGAACAAAAGAAACAAAAGATCTAAAGGATGACCTTAACTAGTTCCTGTACGTTCAGTCACATGATTTCTACTGCAACACACGATGAAATTCACACACTGACTATTCATAAAGCCATAACTAGGCAGACCCTTGGACACCAGGTGTGATGCAACGGGTGCATCACATAAAAAGTTACACTGCTGTGGAACTTACAAGACTGAATACTCTTGTACAATGATTTTCCAGCCTACAAGAAAAGTTCTTCTGTCTCATTTGTTAGTCTGCATGGTTTTGGTGGACTGACATCTCCAGCACTTGTATCCGTACTTTATTTGTACAAAATTTCTAGCTAACTCATAATTTTGTCCAATAACACCTAGTAGAAATGCTTATACAAGTGCAGGTATATATATAATACATAATATGAATGCATGCATGCCATTAAAATCATTTACAGCTCCAAAACTTTATGACAAATGACCTGGCTGGTGGGTCCAGATAGAAATTTCAACCAGTATATCTAAGTTGTTCAATGTGGCCATTATTTTTGAAATAGGTTAAAAAAGAAATATGAAATACAGTAATACCTAAAAATGAACTTTTAAAACCTCAACTGCAAGAGACACAACTATATGTATTAACTTCATTAGTGAAATTTTCAGTTAGGAACCAGCAAGTCTTGAACATTTTTCCCATCAGGAGAGAGAAGCAAGGATTTGGGGGGAAAAAGCTAAGGGATATTTTATTTCTCCAAAAAGGCTATCACTGTACATGCAAGGAAAAGAACTTGTGATTTCACAGTTGAAATTATACTTACATCATGGAGAGGGTAGGCAGATGAATAAGTGTTCGAATTTAGCAATCTTTCAATCCCAAACTTTTTCTTCCCATCTTCTATGCCAAAAGGACACCGTGAAAGAATATAGTACACCTGAAAGGTAAATACAAAGAGACACTAGCACCTTTCAGACCTTTATGCCTTTCACATACTTTTAGTCACAGTTTCACAAAATGCATTGTATCTGAATGTAGACACAGACCATGATTACAGAAAGAGGCTTCCCTCAGGACCTGGGAGATAGCTCAGCAGCACACTGTATGCCTGGCAGGCACAAGGTCCTGAGTTCGATTCCCAGTACCAAAAAGATAAAAAAGAACGAGGCTTCCTTTTGCTGTTTTGGAAAAGACAAAATTGAGCAGGTGCATAGAATCTGCAGGCATTTTATTTCATGGCTCTGAGAATTCCCCATGCTAACGGTGGATGTGAGGGCAGATGAGTCTCAATTTATTTTCCCACCTTTGTTCTAAGTGCCTCTGTGAGCGCTTCATGCCAGAACTCCAACCACAAGCAAGTTGGTTTCAAGTTGGAGTCTCACATCATTACTAGTTAATAGTTCACTTGGAGAAGTAGGTGGTAGAACTAATACTTAGCCATGATGTTTTGAATATTTTCTCAATTATTTGATAATTTGTATAAGGCCTTTACCTGCTATTATCTTGGGTTGAATTTATTAATCAAGATTATCATAGCTTTATGACCACTTTGTAAAGCCTTCTAGCTGTTTTTTGTTTTTTGTTTTTTTTCTGGTACCAGGAGGCGAACTCACGACCTTGTGCTTGCCAGGCAGGCGCTGTGCTGCTGAGCTAAATCCCCAGCCCCCTCTTTTCAATAATAGTTTCACAGAGCAAGAAGCATACAGCACTTAACTGGCACTGTTTTCCAAGATTTTAGATCCAAGGTAAAAGTAAACATTGTTAATATTGAGACAGAAATGGATACAGACATCAATAGAGCAGAATACAAATCAGAAGTCACCTATGGACACGTAGTATGAAAGAAATGTGAAAGCTCTCAGAATAAAAATGCAGTCATTTCTATCAACCCTAAAAACATGAAAAGCATATGTAAGTGGGAGGTTACAAAAAAGTAAACTTCTATAGGATTACCCAATAATAAATATCACAATGAAGATCACAAAGGGTGTTATACCATGACCCTCCCAAACAGCAGCCACACCTTGTACAAAAAGTTTTTCCACAAAAACATCTGCCCAGCATGTGTGTATTCATCCCCAGGCTGATGTCATGCTTGCTAGTAATCACTGTGGCCAACAGTTACTGTGTCACAATAGCTGATGTCACCCTCCTCATTTTTGTCTTCAGAAAGGTCCCTTGCCTCAGGCTCATGGAAGGCACCCCCAGCTTACCACGAACATGCAATTGCTATTGCAGTGCTCTGCTATTCCCAAGTAAATACCATGATTCTGTGACAAAGCTCCATCCGACTTAGCTGTTAGATTTAGATAGACAATAGATACTTGAGTTATGAAAAGGCGGCTATGAAAAAATACAAAATTTGAAAGCTTTCAGTAACTGCTGCAATTTGGCTGACCAAATATACTGATAAAAACTGACTTCCATTTTTTATACAATAATTGATTACAGGTTGAGAGACAGAAGGTGAGGATGTGCAAAGTAAAATAATACAGACATACTTCAGAGACATTGTGCAATAAAGATCAGACCACCACAATAGTCAGTTACACAACTTTTCGTTTCCAGGTGCACAGAAAAGTTATGTTTGCACTACACAATAGTGCTGTGTCCTAAACACATATGTATATACCTTAATTAAAAATAATACTAAAAATGCCAGCAATCATATGAGCCTTAAGAAGCCATAATCTTCTCTTTGGAGGCTCTGGTCTAGCCTGCATGCTGAGGTAGGTAGGCTGACCTGCTGACCTAGGTAGGCTGAAGACTGGGCTGGATGTGACCAGTTCTTAAAATAAGGTAACACTTAAGTGTGCCCCTTGATTGACTCTTCCTTTTATGAACAATTTCTCTTTAGCATGCAGTGGTCCTTAACAGCAATTTATCTAGAGAAGAATAGCTTATAAAACTAGAGTGACCATTCTCAAACCCGACTACTGATTTATCAAATAAATTTATATAGTATTCTAAATCATATATTGTCATTTCAAAGTGGTTAACCTTATCTTCAAGAGGAGCAGTGTCCAACTCCACAAACCACTTCTTTTGTTAATGCAGAAGAGGCAACTTTTCACCCCTTAAGGTTTTTGCATTTTTTTCCTACATTTTATTTTATAGGTACATTTAGATACACATAATGATCGCATTCATCATCGGTCATTTGTACCTGCTCATGAGACAGCTTGCTTCCTTTTTTCTCATTAAGGTTCTATCATGCTATTATACCAGTTTGGTCCCATTCTCCGGCTTCACTTCTAATTCTGATTCTCTTGCTGTTTCAACTAAATCTGAAATTACTCCCTCTACTAGCTCTTCAACCCCTCAAAAGCGAGAACCAGTTGCTTCCAGTCTCCTGCTAAATCACAGTGTTTTGACCTCCTCCCATGAACCAGGATAAAATGTCACTTACAGTGGCCAGTCCGTTCTAGAAGATTTTCAACTGGCTTTGCCCAGATCCATTAGTGTAACTGTCTATGGCAGCAATTGCCTACAAAATCGATTTTTTAAATAATAAACATGGAAAACAAATCATTCCCGTATCCCTACTGAAGAGTGAAAACCGGATTTCGGGTTACTAGCATGGAAACAATATACTTCATACTTCTCCATTAGGCATCCGGGGTTCCCAGTGTATTGTCAATGAACAGGAATATTTGGAAGGGGATCTTGTCTTTTCCCAAGCAGTACATCTCAAATGTGGTCTTAAAATATTCAGTAAACATTCAGGTGCGTCCACCCTGCACTCACAGGCGCTTGCTCTCTTTTCTTAAAGACACTATGATAAAAATACCTTAAAGTAAAGGAAATTCTGTTAACTATATACATTAACTATGCTACCCTATGCAATTTTATCTGTGACCCAAGATCAGACCTTCTCACTAAGGGAAACCAAGAGGTGAGACACTCGGGCTATTTTGCTCCACTGACAGAACACAGGCAGGGATTCAATGCTATTGCTCAGGGTTCTGGGATGTTTGCAATGGTAAGTGAGCACTGTTTTCAGCTTTAAATCACCAGCTGCATTAGGGCTTCACCAGAGAGCCAGCCTGTCTTTGAAGTTTTAAAGCCAAGCATTGCCTACTCTGCTTTTCGCTATCAAACTCCTAGGTGGCATCTTCTCCCAATACAGAGCTGTTGCACTACACTGGGTATTTGTCATTGAAAGTAGCCACCTCCTCCGAGTAGCTGAGCGAGATCTTTTGGATGAAGTACTTCCTATATGATCTCATGGGCACCTGCTGCTTTGCTTGCACATTTGGTACAGAGACGCCTCCTTCCCTTAAACCTCCAGAAATAACCTCGGCTAGATTCATCCTTTGCTTTACAGCTCCCTGTGCTCTCTCAGTTTTCTAAGGATTCCACAACAGGCCTTACTCTGCATTTAGCTTTGCCTTATAGGAATAATGCTGCTGCTTTGATCTTCTATTTGAACTTTCCTTAAATCAGCAATAAGGCTGCTTTAGGTTGTTATCATTTGTCTGCTGACTGGAGCAGCTCTTGACATTTCCTTCAGGAACTTCTCCTCTGCATGAACAGTGGGCTCAACTGATACAAGAGGCCTGACTCCTGGCCTGCCACAGGGTTTGATGTACTGTATTTACTAAGCTTAGTAACTTCTAGCTTTCGGCTTAAAGTGAGGGGAGCATCACTGCTCCCCTCACTCGAGCAGACAGAGGTAAAATGTAGGTTGTATAAGTGGCCAGATATCAATATAGTTTGTCTCAGGGAACAAAACAGTCCATGGAGAAGCAGAGAGAACTGCTGGTCAGTGGGCAGCCAGAGCACCTGTGTATCAATAAAGCACCCTTTGCGGTACCCAACAAGTACAGTAGTAACATCCAAGACCCAGTCACAGATACACATAACTGACATTACAAAAGTGAGAAAGTTTGAAATATGCCAAGAATCACCAAAATGACAGAGAAATGAAGCAGACACAGGCATTTGGAAAACTGGCATCCATGGATGTGCTCAGTGCAGGGGTGCTGTGAGCTTGAAATTTGTAGAAAATGCCATGTTTACGAAGCACAGCTAAGCAGAAACGATCGAGTGAGGTACACTTGTATTAATGCAACAGAAAACGTTCCACTTGGATGGAGGGAAACTTGGGCTTCAGTGTACCATAAGAGCCAGTTCTATGTCTTTGTAATTAAATTGCTGAGATGCTTCTTATCTGTTTCTCTCTTTAGGCATATAGAAATATCTTAGGATGTTTAATTTTGTCTATCTATCTGAGAGATAAAGAGAAAAGGGGGTTAGATGTTATGGTGGAAAGTCAGATCCTTTGAAATAAATGAAATTCTAGCCTAATGACAATGTCCTCGTCGTACTGTTCAATTTGAACATACATAGACTAAAATGTCCTGGTTGAAGACAGGAAGGAAGGGACTTTTCTATGTTAATCTTCCAAATAACCTCCTCACAGGACAAACAGTATTTCTCCTCTATAAATTAGTAATGAATTAGCCTTGGTATTGGCACTGTTTATATGGAACAAGTAGAGGTAAAGGGATAGTTACATTTCTGTCATAGATCAGACCTTAATTCTATCCCATACAGTCACTTGTCTTTTATTAGCAGACTTCGAAAGGGGCAGTGTTTCACCTCATTCTCACTGTAATGGCAAGGTTGCTGTTATTTCTCTTACAGAAGTTGTCTCATTTAGAAGGTAGCAAAGTTATGACCTGCCAGCAGATCCTCTGATTCTACGCCATATACTCTTTATTTCCTTAAAGATGACCTCTAATGCTTTTCTGTTGCTGTTTAATTTCTGTTAGAAAAAAATGAAAGATTTCATAGTTCGTAGAGTTATACTTTGGACCAAAATTCTAGAAAATGAATTTTGTTCAGTATTCCTATCAATGAACTTTTAAAATATTGATTTAGAAACTAGGAGAAAGTGGCATCATCAGAAAAAGAGTGTGTGTGTGTATACATATATATATATACTACATACATAATTTTAATGGGGAGAGTCTTGTGATTGTTCGGAAACAAGTTGTTAAATTGATACATAACAGATGCAGTGTTTGAGCAACATGAAACTAGAAATTTTTCTTAGGACATCAGATCAATAAGGATAACACTGACAGTGAAAATATTCCTATGTGCCAGGGGCACTCCAAAGCTTTTCACCTCTTAATTTATTTATTCCTGAGCACAACCTATGACAGAGATATTATTTTTCTCTCAATATGAAGAAACAGTGCCATAGAAATTGTGATTTTTGGACGAGAGATTTTTAATGGAAAATATAAGAATCCCAGGATTACAAGTGGAGAGGAAGTATCAAAAAGCTGTATTTAATTTTAAATAGGAAAAGGGAAAGTTCTGGAGCTTCTCAAAGTCTGTTCATATATAAAAATTTAAAACATTCAATTTTTACTTAGGATGACTAATAGGATGAGTAATATTTCTCTTACTACACAGTCAACTTATAAAATCAAATGTAAGTATACAAGCTATTTATAAAGGTCATATAAAATGTAAAAAAAACCCTCTGTGCCTCAGCTAAGTGCTTTCTAGGACTGCTTGATGCCTTTGACATTACTGTGTCAACACCCTCAACCAATCATTTTTTAACACCAGTTTGAGAGGGAGGGAGATTAACAAGATTAAATGGACCTAAAGGACCTTCGAATGTGCCCCATACCACCAAATGCTTCTCTCCTACACAAGAATACCGTGCAGACATAGTACTGCTCAAGCCCACATAGAAAGGCACAAAAAGACCCACATGCCATACTTGGAGAGATGGGCCCCAGCTCTTCTCTACCTACAATTCTGTTTCTCGATGAGGATTTGAAGAAGGTTGCTTTATCTTCAATGAGGAAGAGCTCCTGCCGATGTCTGTTAAACTGGACAGTGAAATATTCAGGACGCGGATACTTCACACTCTCAGGGAGCTTCACAGGCGTGAGCATGCAATTAAAAGGCATGTGCTCGGGCCGCGGAATGTCACTCTCCCTAATAGGCATCTTGATTCCCAACACTTCTGCATAAGTAGCGAGTACCTCCCAAGGGGCGTGGATCTTGACAAAGTAAGTTCTTCCATCCTCGGAGTCCTGCAGAGAAGAGGTGAGATAACAGCAAACTTCCTGAGCTGATTAAAGAAACTTTAATCAATTTGCAAAGATGTCACAGAACTTTCATGTGCTAAGAGTTTTCAGTAAAAATTTAGAAAATGAAATTCCCCAGGGAGATATACATGTATGTGTGTAAGAAATGGAGAGAAAGAAAGATATGCACAGACAGAGACAGAGACAGAGACAGCAACAAGGACACTCAGAAACAAAGAGATCGTATCTTTATAACTCAGGGTCAAGGTGCACTCTGCCCTAAGTCCACAGCTATATGTGTGGCTCTAGGTAACTGCTTAAATTTTAGTGACCTGATATGAATGTATAATTTTGTGCAGGTTACATAAGAGATACATACAAACTATAAGATGCTCTCACTCTTCTTACCCAGCTTCTGTATGAGCCTACATGAAGAGAAAGAACTTTAGATAACAAAGGTTAGCTATGTAGATAAATAGCTAAGTTACACATTGTGTGGTACAAGATACAGTTATTGGTCCAGTAAAGATAGGAGAGAAATAAGAACAAAAGAATATCAAAGTTAGTACTAGAAGTGGTATAGACAGGGTAAGATCTTAAATAGGTCTTTGAAGACAACATCAAAGGAAATTCTAGCAAAGCAGTAAATGAAAAGAAGGAGAAAGAAATTGGCATATTCATGAACAATGGCTTAAACGGCAGGTCACCCTAGTCTTCACTTTTTTGATATCCTGAATAGAAACTGTTTGTACATTATAACGTGTCCCACTACTCATCTGCTCAGTTCATTGACCTGCTGACCTGTAAAACCACAGGCTCTATTCCTGCCAGGGCACACCTCTGTAGCCCAAAGAATTATATATTGTCCCAAACACAAAATCTAGTTAGTCAAATATTAGAAGAGAAAAAAAAATGACACTTAATAAATGAATAATATTCTTGCATAAATTATCAGGTATATTTACCCTTTTGTCTTCAATTTCCAACTCAAGACCTGATTTTCTGAGATTTTGTTCAAACTCTTTTCTTCTTTCCTATAGCCAGAAAAAAAAAAAAGGATGACATAAAATACTGTGCCTGGAACAATTCAATTTCAGATTCTCTCTCTATGCATCCAGAGCTGTCCTAGGGCTCCTCCCTCTCCTCCCTCCCCCTTTCTCTCTCTCTGTCTCCCTCTCCTCCTCCCCTCACTTTCTCCTCTTCCCCTCAATAAATTGTCTTCTTTAATTAAAGAAAATACTGTCCCCTTTACTCAGAGCTAAGCAAATTTAACACAAAACAGCTATACATCAAGATAGCCTCTCCCACACTGTATATAAATGTTCTCCTTGTAATTTCCATGAACAAATTTTTACCTGTAACAAAACTGAACATAGCTATAAAAATACACTGTATTTCTCAACAATCTGTAAGTAATATTCACCACCTCTATTTGAGATACATATAAAACTTTCCTCAATAACATAAATTTTTTAAAACACTCATAAACAGAGACATACTGTGTTCCTAGTTGGAAAGACTCAAGGTTACAAAGATCAAAACTCTTCAATAAGATGTAATTGTCATGCAATTTTAAGTAAAATTATCAAGATGACTTTTTAATCTTGAGGGACAGAATGTCTTCGCTTCAAGAAAGTAAAGATAAATGTCACTATAGGTCATTACTGCAAATAATCCTAACTAGGATTTTAAAACAATGCATTGATGGTCAGAATTACCTTTGGCCTTAACTATGATGTAGGCAGGAAAAATTTCAGAGTGCCTATATGTTTTAAATCTTTAGCATTCATTCTAAGACATTCATCTTCAAATAAGCATGTCTACCTTGATATTTCTCTGTACTTTACAAGGAATAAAAGTTTAATGTTTATTTTCTCTGTCTCCAATATTATTGTGAATAGATTTATGGTAATGATGCAAGGTCTTGTCCCTCAGCTAGCTTTTTCTTTGTTGCCTTCTTCAAAGTAAGGCAGGCTGCAACTGCATAAAATCCAGAATTGATAAATGAAGGAACACTTTTAATATACTGTTTTATTACTGAGAACATGATTAACTCTTTCTTTAATACAGAAACACACACTTTGGTAAATCAGATGGTCATCAATTCTCTGAGTTCTGTAAAACTGATAGAGTTAGTGCAGCTACAATCTGACAGATCAATAAACATGATTTTAAATGCTAAATCACTTTGTAATTTTTGGGTGAAAGTCAAGAATTGAAAAAATATTGACAATTCTATTGTCAATATGTCTATTCCAATCTTACCTGAGTAATCTTCCTTTACATTAACTACATATATTAACATATTAATAATATATTAATATGTATTATATTAATGAGTATAAAGAACAATTTTAAAGCCCCTCTATCTCACTAATCAATTCACTTATGTATTTTTGTTTTATATTTAATCACTACTTGGTAGATTTTTTTTAGATTCAAGAGGTTTTATCAAATAAGCACGCATACAATTATAAAAATAATTGTATGCAAAATCAGAAGTTTAAGGCTGAGAGTGTTCTGGCTAAAGGTAATAAAAATGTTTCAATCAATGTACTATGTTTCTTGCAGCAAAGTTATGACTGAATGAACAATAAAGTGCTTCCAAGGATAAAGCATTTATATTATAAAAAATTATGTACAATAAGTAGAATGATAATTTTAAGTGGAAGAAAAACTATAAATTTCAGCTGTTAGACTTTCTGCATATATTTTTAAATGAATGATGGTGTATGTACAATTCCCATGGTATTGGCTTTCTATGAATACATAATAGAAAAGGAATTTAATGAAGCATTTATAAGATGTTCTAAGTCACCCTTTGCAACTACTGAGGTGTATGGTGAAAAACCATACACAGCAAAGACTGTAGATGGTTTAGGGTTTTGGGGGGTAAGTTCAGGGGTGGAGCTATTGAATTTCTGATGTCTATAAGATTTCCAGATAGAGATATGGCTAGTCTTTAAGTTATGTATCTTCAGAGAAAAGTTTGGACTGGAAAAGTGAGCTGGTAAAGTGAGCTTTGTATTTATCATAAATATGGTTTTAAAACTGTGGGGGAGAATGGTATCATCAAAGAAATCCACATAAGCTAAGAAAATGATTAAGAATCACACTCTTCAGCTATATAGTAAGGGCTCCAAGATAAGCAAAGGTTGAGAATGAGCACATGTACTAAATCAAAATAAAAAATTAAAAGAATATTAACATATGAAGAAGAAATAATGCAAATGGTACTATCATCAGAGGCATTTCATCCAAGAAACATTTTCTTTTAACCCTAAAATATACCACAAATTCTTACTGCCCATTGTACCAGGGTTCTCCAGAGAAACAGAATAAATAGGATGCATATATACATAAAGAGTTTTCTATTAAAAATAAGAGAATGAGGCATCTTGGGAGACAAGAGAAGAACACACTCAACAAAGAAAGAAATGATTCTCCACGTCAAATGTTAGGAGGTCAAGCAGGATGAGAGCTGCAACTTGACCTTACATGTGAGTAGAGTGACTGGGGTGAAAGCCTGAAAGGAATGGGTTTAGGAGAAAAACTGGCAGGAAGGAACATGAGAAATGGGTAACACTTCACTGGCCAGGGCCTGAGGAGGTGCCCCTAACGAGGAGGTGGAGACCTCAAATTGTCCTGGACAGTTTCTTGACTCTTGTTACAGAAAAGCATTTCAGGTGCTTCAGTACAAGTTAGAAGGCAGAGTTAGAAAGTAAGAGAAAATGAGAAGAGAGAGCGTTGGGAGCTGAGGGAGCACAGGTCCAATGAACCACACCAAAGTATCAGAACAGCCCTTCAACACACAGGAGCAAACAGCTTGTAAGGAGCTGGGGTAGACTAGAGTATGGACGATCCTTGTCACAGTTCTGGTTTTGCAAAATGGCTCCAGAAGTCCATATGGCTTAATTTTGTCTCCATGAGGTGACTGATTGTGCTTGGGGAAGTCTGTTATACTCAGACTTCCAGAATCCAGAATTCAAATTCAAATCCAAAATCCTAGGTGGTTGTAGGTCTGGACAAGGATTAGACAATTCTGCACACTCACTGATTTTTTTGTGCTCCTACAGAGCTCTTATCTTGGTGTTCTTCCTCTTGAAAGGGGATGAGACATGTTAATTCAGAGCCCACCAACCTTGTGTTGCCAACTTGTACCCAGATTCCTCCGAAGATTAACATGACTGTGCAGAGCTGAGCAGGGATCTCATGCAAAGTTTAAGGTAATAAAGGAGACAGATAGAAAATAAAAGTCAAGCCCTGTTCTGGTTTTAGTTACCTACTGGGCATCTGTAGAACCGAGTGAAGAATCACTGCTTTTTAGCAAAAGATACTTTTGAATCCCTGACTGCTTCAGAAACACAGACACACACACACACACACACACACACACACACACACACACACACACACTGCTTTTGATGAGTAAAAGGTGAAGTGCTGTCTAGGCTGGAGTCAAACTTGTGACCCTCCTATCCCAGTTTCCCAGGCTACGGGGATTACAAGCATCAGCCACCCTGCCTGAAATAGTTTTTTATTCTATTTGTTGTTGTTTTTAGTATGGAAAAATTAAATTTTTGGCTTAGTTTAGCAAAATAAAATATAATTTAAAAGAGAGGAATATTGCAAGAAAAATATCTTTAGGCCGGTGTACAAAAACAGTTAACACACCAGGCACAAACTGCCATACTGTCTATAACCTTTGACAGGCTCGACGTGGAGTCCAGGATCTTGATTTCTTGATGGAAACTTGCTGCCCCAGAACTGATAAAAGAGACTCGCTTTGCCTGAACTCTTGTCATCACTTGCTGGAGAATTTAGGCACACTCACAGGACATCCGGGCATCTGTTTTTCCCTGGACTTTATCCGCTGACTCTTTTCTCCTTGCTGCTTTTGCTTTGCATCGCTTCACTGTAACAAAACGTAACTCTGATGACTGCAAGCTGATTCCTGGGAGTCTTCTAATGAATCGCTAACCCTCACCATACTTCTGGGGTTCTGCTGCACAGTAAGGAAGAAGAAATAAGACCCAAAGCACAGGTGGAGAAGTTAGCTTTAGACAAATGGACAAATACTTCTACGACGTCAAGAAGGAAGAAGATTAACAAGGTGAAGATGCTGATGGACTGGTAAGATGTGATGGGAAGGAATTTGTAGAATTTCCTTCTATTTGCTTCAGATTTCTCAGTGAAGAAGAAAAGTGTGGAAAGCTTTGCTTGGAGTTGGAGAAGAAGAGGGGTGAGAGGGGAGATTAAGTTACTAAACTGTCATACAGGACAGTGGTGGATAAGAGAATAAATGGTAAGGTATGACTTCCAGACAGCGTTAAAGACCACTGCAGTCCACAAACAGTGTAAGAAAAGCAATAAGCTGCATGTCTTATCTCTCTGCGTGGGTGCTAGTGGATTTAGAGCTGGGTTTAACTAAAGCTGTTGCTTTGTCAAATGATTACAATTGACAAGGGGCAAGGGAGTTGATGCCAGACGAAACAGAGCTTACATAATTGTCGAACATCAGACTTATGCTGCATGAAGATAGAAAGGAGGATAAAGAACAGTAAAATGGTGGTGACACAATTGTGTCTCACTTGTCCTGGGGAGACTGAAAGAATGGTGTGGGACAGAAGTATTTGGGGAAACAGTTGGACACATGGAGTAACATTATTATAAGGGATTTTAGCTTTTTGAATGACAAGTTTTAGGAGATTGACTGGAGGCTAAGATCACGGAAGCTCGGGGAACAGAAAAGCCCGAGTGCCAAAATAACTCTCTTTGCATGCACTGAGACCATCCATGATTTTCTTTTTTTTTTTGGCACTGGGAATCAAACTCACCAACTCTCGCTTGCCAGGCAGAAGCTGTGCTGCTGAGCTAAACCCCCGGCCCCCAACCATGATTTACAAAGAAATATTGGTGGAGAAACTGACAATGAGCATTTTTTGGTAGAAAAATAAAAAGGAAGATCCAGGATGGGAGAACAATTATAATAATAACACAAGGCACTAATTAATTTGATGAAATTCAGAGTTTAGAATTCTAAAGCAAAGGCAGAAAAAAAACAGTGTAATCAACAAATAGAAGAGGGCAATCTATCACCTGTCTGTCTGTCTACCTATCTATCTATCATCTATCTATCTATCTATCTATCTATCTATCTATCTATCTATCTATCTATCCATCTATCTATCTTGTGATGTTAGGATCAAACTATCTGTCTATCTATCTATCTATCTATCTGTCTATCTATCTATCTATCTATCTATCTATCTATCCATCTATCTAGCCTCTATCTATCTGTCTTGTGATGTCAGGATCAAACCCAGCCTTTGCATAGGCTAGGCAAGCATTCTACTACTGAGCAATGACCCTGTGTTCCATCCCAATCACCACAAACAAACAAACATGCAAACAAATAAAGAAAAGGAAAATAAGAAAGATGGTAACCAGTACTGACCCCACCTCAGAAAAAGACTGTATAAGTTAAACAGCCACCACATAAGAACATGGTTTGAGAAATCAAAAAGAAAATGAATGTCTGGAAGTTGTAAGAACATTAAAAAAAAAATGACAATAATGGAGGTCTGTGAAATTCAGGGGCATGGTAGAACGGTTTCCAGGCAAAGGTGAGAGAAAAATAGGTCCAGATCTTGTGGATTTAACAGTCATAGTTCTATTTATTTATATGCATTTATCTTGTAAGTATGTTAATTGAGTACTTGTGTGTGTCTGCATACACATATACATACGTAAGCTTATACACACACATAATTATTATTTCAAATACAGCATACCTATTGGTCATCCATTATATACCTATCACCACTCTGGGTATCTAGGTATATAGTGATGAAGAAGGCAAACAAAGTATATGGCCTCAGGAATTTAATTCATGATATTATAGATGGCAAACAAGTGAAAAATAAGTGAGTAAATAATAGTGAGTAAATAGTAAATAAGTGAGTAAATAATAGTGCTTGGAAAGTGACAAGTGTTACAATAGCAATCCTGTGAGACGAGGAACAGTTTATCAAATGAAGGTGCTTTCAGGTCAAATGAGTTAGTCATATGTTCTTAAAATTAAAATTTCATACAGAAAGGAAATATTCAGAAACAGACCTTACATTTTAGAAGTCATGTTTAGTATCTGAAATGAGCTATGTAAAATTCACATCACTTGCAAGAAGAAAAAGAACAGCCTCCCAAATATCCGAAAAGCAAAATGGACATTACGCATCCACTCTTAGCTGCCTATCTTGTGGTCATTTTAGTTTCACCTTTCAGCTACACTCCAGATGATAATGACTCTTACGATGCCCTTCCATGTAGCTCTCTATGCTACACTGTGGGGTGTAATTCTACAGCCACTCTCTTTTTATATCCCCATTTCTCTCAGGTAAGCACTTACCGCCTTTATGTCAGCATCTTTCTTTATGTCATCAACATAGGACAGCACAAAATCAATCTGCCTGATCCCATCTCGGAAGAAGATAGAATCTTTGCTTTGTTTACTCTTTTGAAACTGCAAAAGATGTAAATGACATGATTTTACATCACTGCTTATTCTCAAACAGCAAAAACTTCAAGGTTATGTAAAATTGTTTCACCAGCTGATTTTGTTTTTTCACTCTTGAAGTGAAAACTTAAGACAAAGAGTGAGAGTTTTTGCCAACAAAAGATTAAGTCTATTTTAAAAAGTGAAATTCCACAGAATGTATCAAACAATACTCCGGAGAAAGTTAATCATATTAACTGCACACACACATAGCGATGGTGCGACTGTACTAAAATATAAAATGCATATATGCAAACATTGGTCCCACACTGCATATTCAAGCCGAGCCCTGATATCTAAAGCAACAGCACACCAATTAGTCCCTGAAGTAATTAATGGCTAATTATAGAGCAATTAATAGAATCTCATTGTAAGAAAGTAAACTTATGTTTAATTTTTACAGGTGTTTTTATAAAATTTCCACTTTCTAATCCAACTCTTAAGGTATGAAAATAGAATCAAGGTGCAGTTAAAAATTAGGTAGTTTGGTAGCTGGCCTCACTACAAGCAAATTCTCATGCGAATCTCCCTTCAAACTCAAATTCTCAAGGTGAGCCACAATCTTTTGTTTAAATTTGGATGGATAATCTCAACACAAGAATCAAACTTACAAGTACAACATTCACACATTGTACAGTGCATTAATTCCTTCCCTTTCAGTATGGAAAAAAATATACTAGAGCATTTTATTTTGTTTTTGTTTTTGGTGGTACTGGTCATTGAACTCAGGGCCTTGTGCATGCTAGGCAAACACTCTACCACTGAGCTACATTCCCAGCCTTGGAGCATTTTAAAAAGATTACAAACCGAAAAGAAAAAAAAAGAAAACAAAAAAGTCTTTGGTACTCTGAGAAATCATCATAACATTAGCACAACTTGTGACATTCAGTAAAATTTATGGAATCCAACGGCAGAAAAAACTCCTTAGACTAATTGTAAATGAAGTAAAAAGTTTGGAGCAGCCATATTCTGTAGGGTAAAATTTTCTTTAAATGGCTATTATTTTCACAAGTGTTAGTTTAGGTAAGCTAAATCTTAGTGAAAGAAGACACACACATAGACACAAACAAAAATCACATGCAGAACACTTGAAAATTAGACAGTTGATGAAGTAGTTAAAAGAATAATGATTCAGTACTTTCCTGAGTGTACTATCAAAATAGGTACGAATACATCCCTTCTCCTGAACTTCAAGGGCTATCAAGAAAACCCAAACTTCTACATTTATGTCAGGCCCTGACTATAAACTGTAATTTTTGTAAAAGTACAGAAAAAATTCTTGGTAACCTTAAATTACCATAAGGTCTAAGTCTTGCGGTTGCGTTAATGAGAACTGATTAAAGATAACAAGGGCGGAAAAGTCTGATAGTTTGGCCACATGAAATTGAATAAAGTAAAACATAGCCTTCTTTTGTTTTGCTCAAAATGTGACACAACACCATATTTTGCAAGATAGGTATGCTTGTTATTATATTTGGTTTGTTCTTAGAAATGCACATTTACAATAATGCGAGCATCCAAATAGCTTCTCTTTGAGTGGTGAAATTATTCTGAAATTCATAAACCTATTTTGCTAAGAGGGCTTCACAAACCCTTAAACAGCAAATGTGTGTGTGTGTGTGTATGTGTGTGCACATGTGTATGCATGTGTGCGTGCATGAACACGTGCGTGTGTGTGTGTGTGTGTGTGTGTATGGGTATACACATTTCACAAAGAGATTTCATAGGTCCCATCAGATTCAAAAAGGTTTGAGAACCACCATTCTTAAACATCCATTCCCCTGGGAACTAGGCATCTATGACAAAGTCCCCTAAATCAATAGTATTCATTGAAAAAGAAATGGCAAAGATCATCACTGCAGCCATCCAGAGCAAAAGCAGCATCATTCAGCAATGTTTTACCATAAGACGCCGCCTCAGGAACAAATTGAATCGCTTTGCAGGCTGTGAAGCAACCAATAGAGAATTAACACCTCCCGCCTGGCATTAAAGATTCCCCCAAACAAGCATGCAAACAAGCCCAGCTTCAGTATGGTCACTCTCTGAATACGCGTGTTTGTGTGTGAGATTCAAAACTAAAGGGAAGGAGAAGTTACAAAAAAAAAGATGAAAACAGGAAGAAAATAATAAAATTAAAGGATATGAAAGAGATTTCAAAGTAAATTTCCCCACATCGTATAATAATTCTTTAAATAATACTTATGAAACTGCATTCATCACAAGAGTGAGAAATAATGAATTAGACAGGCAGTAATGGAAATATAATGGAAAATATTTATTTTGTTAAATATGCTCTCCATATAAAAAAACCAAAATCCCTAATAAATGGTATGGAAGTATGCCAAGACTTCCCAAAATACAGGAAAAAGGAAACGTTATTCTGTTTTTAATGCCAAGTTGCCTCCAATCTTCTATTATTATGGTCCTTATTTAAAATACCAAGGAAATTATCTAAAAAGATGTGAGATAATCAATGGTATTTGAAAGAAAACCCAATCTGCAGTACAAAATGGCTGGTACAGTGGATGTTTTAGTGGCAGTAAGTAATCTAATAAAATTCTCATTAAAAGAGCTCAATTCTTGGCATGAAAATTTGGATTCAGTTGTTCCCTTCCTGGAATAGGCTGGAGGCACCCAATTTACCGGTAACTACTGGAGTGAAATTTCCTATTCTTTAAAGTAATGAGCCTTCTGCGAACAGACAGAGGAGCTAATACTGATAGCAGAAGAATGTTGGGCTTGAAGGGACGGGAGGGGAATGGGAAAAAAAGAGGAACTAAGATAAATCATGTACAGGTACAAGTTCCCTATGGTGAATGTGATCAATATGTTTATCTAAACTCTACCAATAAATTTAATAAAAAAAAGAATGTTAGTCATTACACACAGTATATTCTAAACTATATTTTCCTATTGATCTAAAAATTCCCATGTCAGCCCTCCTTTTTCCTTACCTTTTTCATGAGATTTATAGATTACTGTATTTCTCAGATTTGTTCCCTAAGTTCAACACAGAATTAAAGGAAATCTAACTCTTATGTGAAGGAGCCCTACAGGGCTTCATTATGACCTTCTTGTGTCTTGAATTAACAAAAATTAACCTAACAAGGATGAGAGGCCTAACCACAAATTCTAAAACTATGAACTAAGGAAAATATGAGGAAATATCCCTTAGTGGGAGTATGCAAACAAGTTTTTCAATAGAACTAAAAGGGACAAATCAAAAAAATAAGGAAAGAAATTGAAATTCAGACACTCTTTCAACCTGTCTTTCTAAACATATTGTTACATAAATGAAAACTCAGATAACAAATTTGGAGAAGACAGTCACAATAAATATATCTAACAAAGGCCTGGCAAAGATATTCAGCCCAGTCTTTTAAAATGCACAGAAGACATGAACAGACAATTCACAACAGACAAATGAATGTCCAATATGCCAATGAAAAGATGGTCATTATTTATCATTATTTATCATAGAAAGGAGAAATGATGTCACGAGGTACCACTACCCACCCATCAGAATTAGCAAAATTGAAAGGCTACCTGTATCAACTACTAGTGAAAGTGGAAAGCAATGGCTGCATGGCTGGTGGGAATGATATGCCATCCCTTTCCAAAAGAATTTTGCACTTTTATACAGTTATTCGTGTAATTTACCTATGGGCCAGAAATTTTGCTACTTGGAAATTATCCTAAAAAAGAAAAAATATGCACCTATGCAAATACTTCTCGTGTGAATGCTTCCAACGCATTTATACATAATGGTTCCAAAATTTAGTACAGTCCGAATAACTGTAAGTGGGTAAATATATGGACAAATTTTGGTATATCCATAAATAGAATACTACTTACCAGTACAACAAAACCAAACCAATAAAAGCTACAAGTATTTCAAACAAAAATCACTGGAAAGCTTGATTTGAGTGCTGATGGCATGCCAATTGTATACAAAGCCAGGAAACTGAATGAAATCAGTAGAACACTAAATTAAGGTGCTAGTACCTTCCATTAGTAATATCTAAATATGTAATTTCAATAATAAATGCTGTGCATATGTTCATATTGAGTGCTTCTGCTCAGTTTATTCAAAGTTCCATTCTGGTTGGTTTGTTTCTATGCTATATCAGTTGCTAAGTACGTAGAATATAATTCCTGAGGTTAACAAGGCCTACATTCCTTTAATACCTGATAATGCACAACCATCATTATTAAAGCACGCTTCTACAGAATGTTTTCAATTCTGATCTTTGTCTAATTAAACTCTAAGCATTTATTGTATTATTTCTTCCAAACACTCATATTCATGCTGAAACTTGAGCACTACTGCTCCCACCTTTCTGTATTTCTCTATTTCACAGCTTTGGGGACCGTTCCACATGGGTAATTCAGGTAACCATTAAGTACCCAGTCAAATCTGCTACTGACTACTCCAAATAAAACGTTAAATTATGTGAACTCTTCTATATTAATAGAATCATTGGTAGTGAACTTCTATCACAATAATAATGGTACAAAAACAATGTTTCCATTTCTTTCTGAGGAGAAGATATGTCCAGTGATAGTCTGCTGGTCATTTTTGTCACTGTAAACCACTGTACACGCTTCCCACCCTGCTTTCTAGTCTAGGATGGTGGGCTGAGTAACAGTCCAAGCACCACTGATGTCTGGATTTCCACAGATAAGGGAAGGCAACAGGAGGTGCTGGCCGTTCCTAAACTGGTATTCAGGAAGGCTGTCCCTCTCCAGGAAAAGTCACTGAGCCTCACCAGAATGTCTTAAGTACTTCACTTTCTTCTTCTAGGTTCCAACAACTTCTTCCCTTCTGCCCTAACAGATCCATACTTACAGTTCCCGGATTCTCCTGCACTTCACCTTTGTAAAAGTCTCCTTATTAAGCCCTCCTCAAGTGGTCCTACTTCTTATATGCCTGAAAGAACTCTGGATGATACAGATTTTGTTTTGTAATGTCACTGCATTATTAAAGCAAATGGTTCCTTTCCTAGAGAAATGGTTCGCTCCAGCAAGGAGGCAGGAAATATACAAGATATGCTGGAGTAACATGTAGTATCAAAAGGCAGGCACTGCTAATAGTAAAGCAAATAATTGGGCATGCCTAAGGCATACAGCAGTTAAGATAAAACCTCCTGTTCACCAAAACTAGAAGACTATCCTGAGTGATGAGATGAATAAAGTAGTACCTGTATCATAGAACACAAAGTATAAAACAGATGTTGCTGAGTTCATGCCAAGGAAGCAAGGAAAGGAAAAGAGGGAGGGAGGAAGGAAGAGAGGAAAATAAATCTCTATTAGGAATTCCAAATAATTTATTCAGCCTGAAAGAGGTAGTGTGAGGTCCAGTTCTTACACAATGGATGCACAGAGTGACTTTCTTCCAAAAAGTACAGTGTGGGAAGGAAGAAAAGACAAAAGGAGTGACTTCAGAGTGGAGAAACCTGACGATAATACTTCAAATCAGGTGGGCAAAGTTGAACACCCAAGGCAACCAGTCACATTGACAGCATGCACCTCTACCACCCTTTGATAGCACTTTAATTTCACTGTCTCACTCTAAAACACATTATACACATCTGATCATGAAAAACATTAGACCAGTCACAACTGAGGGTGATTTTTCACAATACCAGGTCAGTGCTCCTCAAAACAGTGAAGGTTATCAAAGGCAAGAAATGTGTACAAAACTGTTGCAACCAAAAGAAGCCCAAGGACACCTGAGTACTAGATGCAACGTGGTATCCTCCATACAATACTGAAACAGAAGAAGGACATTCAGGCAAAATGAAGACAATCTCCACAAAATAGAAACTCTGGTTAACAATGATGTTCCAACATGGACTCACTGTTTGTAACAAATGCACCATACTATCACGAGATGCTAAACACATGGGAAAATGGACGTAGGGCTTAGGGAAAGCTGGGTACTACACTTATACTAAAACTGTAAGCCTAAAAGTATACTAACATAGAATTCATGGGCAGGGGATATAGCTCAGTGGTGTAAGCGTCTGCCTGGCAAGTGCAAGGTGGTGGGTGAATTTGATCCCCAGTACTGCAAAAAGAAAAAAAATAGAATTCATTTCTTAAAAACCTTATGTTTAGAAGAGAGGCCATTAGAGAGGACGAAGGGAACCAGAGAGATAGACACGATCAAAGTACGGTAAGTGCGCAATGTGAAAATGTAACAGAAAATCCTGTGATTAATATGCATTCATAAAAATATTAGTTTTTTTCTGTTCAATTTTAGCAGCTCATTGCTTAACCAAAGCCAACGTGAACATAAAGAATGAAATCTAATAAGACACAAGTCATTGAAAATTAAATTAATGAATTTAAGATTTAAATTAATGGGATATAATTAATTGCAGAAAGTATTTGCAAATTTTATCACAAGCCAAGACATACTAATAAATATGTAATGAGCTCAAAATAAGTAAAAAGAAAAAAGCAAAACTTAAAGGACTGAGAAACACTGGGAAACACACCTAAATGGAGTAATATAAAAATTAAGATACCATTCAGTGTAGAAAATGTTGAATATCTCATGCACGTTAGGAGAAATGCATATTTAAACTAAGATCCTGAGCCAACAGCAATAGTGCCCAACGGAAGCTACCTCTGGCAGCAACCTGCACGCAGGACAAGAAAGCCTGACTTCTCCCGCAAAATGACTATGGACCACCAGTGCTCACACACTGGTTGTACCCACAGAAAGAAAGCATATGTGAACATAAATAGCAGGGGAGCAAGTATCTGAACTCTCCGATAGAAAAATCTCACATAGAAAAATATACTGGCCAAAGAGGTGCAAAACCAGTTCCCAAGGCCACTGATTGCAGCAATATATGAAATAAATCAGAAGAATAAACCAATTTAAAACGGTTACTGCAGAGAAATGAGCGGTCAAAGATGAAAAATCCTAATAACGTCAATTTCAACCTGAGATGGATTTACCTTCAACCCAATAAAGCCTTATACCTGCCCTGTCTAAGGCCTTAGGAAGAGTTCTAATACTGTGTTGTGTTCGTCAAACATTTTTCCACTATTCTGCTTACAGAGTGACAGCAAAATTACAAAGCTTTAGGCTTCATTAAACTTTTTGTATTTATGTTTTTCTCTTTGGAATAAGGTAAAAGTTTTATATGAGCTTCAAACAAACAAGAAAAAGAAACAAACCAACAGAATTGCAATTAGTTGAATTCATTGAGCCCACAACCCTAATTCAGAATACTAGGATGAGTACCACAGAGAAATTTCCTCTGTGTTAAAACCGTCAACTCCATTTCTCCACCTCTCCACAAGCACCTTTTATTCATTAAGCAAACTTTGAAAAATCTTTAAATTTCTCTCCTTAATTCTTAATTGATATCAAATTTAATTTTTAAATAAATTGCACTTCATGATTAGTCTTAGATGTATATTTATAGATCGAAGTAATATAATGGAGGAAGAATACTGAACTCAGCCTTAGAAACTGGAGTCCTTGTTATGGATTTACCCTGCAAACCTGGAGATAACTTTGGTCAGGTCATTCAGACTGGGAATTATACAAATTTCAAGCGAAGTACTCTGCTAAATTATGTCATTCTATTAGTATGTCTGATGTCAGTTCTTCTTTCAAATGTAAAAAATCCTCAAATATTATGTAGGAGGCCTGAAAAAACTGAATTGAGAAAACAGTGTCCTTACTAAAGACTACAAAAGACGCCTACATGTGTCCATGTGGGGAGGACGGTGCTAGTTGCTGCTTACCGTCTGTTCTTCATTGATGAGAAAGCTGGTCTCTCTGCTACTCAGGCTCTGTTAATAGCACCAGAGGAAGGAAATAATTCTGTTAATAATCATGCAAGTAAAGTAACTAGAACAAGTACTTTTCCATAACAAAAAATCAAGGTTCTCCAAGCCAAAATACCAAACCCGGGCTCTAAAGGACTATGAAACACATTAACATGTGTGCAAAATTGTGTGCATGTGTGTACACATGTGTAGGTGCTGGAATCTGTGCGTGCATCTGTGTGGAGACTGACAGGGTGCTTAAGAGAATAAAAAATTGGGAGTTCATTTTATTAATCAGTAGAATAGTCTGTGATACAAGCAATGGGTAAAAACTAGTATTGTAACTACTACAATGCAGAGAAATAAAAAAAGAATAATGAATTCTGATCAAGATCAATATGGAAGGGCAGACTTAATTCACTATTCTGTGCCTTTAAACACTGATTTGAAATTATGAAAATGAAGACCTTGGAGAATGCATCATCAAGGACTCTTGAGAATTTTCACAATTAAAACTAAAGGGAAAAATCCGTATGTGGCGATAAATATACACAGCTCATCTGTAACTGAAGCGGTGATGATGCCTTCCTCAGTGGACGGATTTTTCCAACCCTCGTGTTACACGGTGACCTGTGTACCACACAGCCTGCTCCTGAGGTCACATTTACCCACTCATCAGTGGTCACGGGGACAGCAGAGTGCTGCAGAGAGACAGCAACTAACAGAATTGGCCTGAAACTCCTGGCCAGACTGAGAATGCACTTATCTTGTTCTTAGAAAAATCTCGCCCAGCATCTCATTGTGACTAGACAATGCTGGGCAAATCAGGTTTGAAAAATAGGAAATAAAACTTGCTATGGACATAATTATTAAAATACTTCTGGGCATCATGGAAAAATGCTACAAAGAAGCAATAATATCTTCATGTTCCTGAGGACAAAGAGAAGATTTTAAACACGTAACTGCATACTATTTATCCAGGTGGGGAGAGTTGGGGGACACTGAGAATCTATGTATAAATACATGCTCAAATCCTCCTGCTCTTACACTTTCTTATGCCTACCGAGGAACCTTGAATGCGTTCCCTTAACTCATCTAAGAATGTCAGATATCGAAAAAAAAAAAAAAAAGAATGTCGGGTATCAAATACAGCTAAAGTATGTCAACTGTGAAACAGCGGACTCTAAAAATAAGTCGTGCAACTGTACTTCCACCATTAAGACAACATAGATTACTTTCCATTTATATTAGCTCCTCATATTTTTTAAATTATCCTACAGAGAGAGCAGTTGTTTGGCTGACAAAAATGGCATAAAGAAATTATACACTAAATATTCCAAAGGCAACCAGGCTTGTAACTTTAAAATCTCTCACTTTAGTAAAAATAGTTTTACTCTAATAGTCAATCAGATCTTGTGGTCATATGTTCAGTGTGCCAAATTTAAAAATAAAATCATCCAGGATTCTTCTTCTTTTGGTAAGTGTTTCATTGTCTCACTTTTTATTGCCCTTTACCAGGTAAAAGGAGAATCTGTGCTGCTCATGATTGTACATGTTCCTTCCTGACCCCAGCCACAAACAAAGTGAATGAAGTGGTCAGAATGGAATGGAATGAAATGAATCAATGGATGAGTGACACAAACTCATGCTAGAAGTAGCATGTCATAATTTTTAGTAATACCATAAGTTCTTTTTTTTTTTTTTTTTTGCAGTACCGGGGATCGAACTCAGGACCTTGTGCTTGCTAGGCAGGCGCTTATGCCACTGAGGTATGTCCCCAGCCCCAAATTTTAGTAATAAATCATCACAGAAACTGAAGACTTTTCCTGACTATTGTGAACATAAGTAGCAGGATCTAGACAGTGAAATTCAAAAATACCATAAGTTCTTTATAGGATTCTTTTGGCTTTACATTTAAGGTATATAACATGATGGTATAAGATACACACGGGGTATAACAGTTACTAGAATAGAACATCTTGTGTAGCTACCTATCCTTCTCTCAAGAATAAAATCTATATAATTATTAATTATAGTATGCATGCACATATGTACAACAACAAAAGATGCTGAATATTGTTAGATACTTTTTCTCTGCATGAAATGAGATGTTTACATAGTTTTCCATTTTGTTAGTGACATACCACACTGATTTAGACATGCTAAATCAGTCTTGCATGCCATGGGTAAACCCCAGTTGACCAGAAATACACCAATATTTTGGTATATTGCTGATTTGCTTTCCTAATATTCTGTTGAAGATTTCAGCACTGCTGTTCATCGGAGATACAATAATTGGCCTGTTTTTTGTTTTTTGTTTTTTTTTGCCTTAGGTTCTCTGTGATGCTAGCATCATAAAATGTATTTGGAAAATTTCTCTTTATTTCTAATATTTGGATGTGCTTAAGAAATATCAGTACTAATTCGGTTTTGAATATTTAATAGAATTAAGCCATGAAGCCATCTGATCCTGGGCATTTCTTTCTTGGAAGATTTTTAATTCTGCAATCTCTGTATTTGTTATCTGTCAATTAAGAAGTTTGCTTTTTCCCAGATCAATCTTGGTAAGCTAGAGAAATGTACAAAGCAAATACGAGTAGACATGAAGGAAGAAATAGCCATACAATAATAGTACAGGACCTCAGCACACCTCTTTCAACACTGGATAGACTGGACAGAAAATTAACATATAAAAATTAGAATGTCACTACCACTAAATCAAATAGATCCAATATATATAGAAATTTCCACTGAACAGTAACAAAATATAGATTTTTTTGAATGCACATGAAAAATTCTCCAGGACAAACCAGATGTTAGCCCACAAATTCCTGAAGGCTGAAATCACATCTGGTATCATCTGTAACCCCAACAGTATGAACTTCTAAATCAGTAATGAGAAAGACTGGGAAATTCACAAACAACTAGAAATTAAACAATATGTTGAACAATCAGCAGATCAAAAGTGAAGTCAAAAGGAAATAAAAACATGAATGGTAATGGAAACAAAACGTATCAAATCCTTTGGGTGGCAGCAAACACAGTCCAAAAAGAAAAGTTTAAGGCAATAGATGCCTACTTTATGAAACAACAAAGATTACAAATAAGTGGTCTCTAACATTACATTTAAAAGAACTGGAAAAAGAAATAAACCAAAGTTACTAGAAGGAAGGAAATAAGATCAGAACAGAAATACATCAAATAGAGAAACATCAGTAAAACTAAGGTTCTTTGAAAACACAAAATCAACTACTGCTGAGAGAGAAAGAGAGACTCACAATCAGAAAGGAGAGGGAAGATACTTTAAAACACAAATGATCATAAGGGAATATTATAAAAAAATTATACACCAACGTATCAGATAATGTAGAGGAAATGAATGAACTTTTGAAAAATGTAACTAATAGAGTGAGTCAGAGGAACAGAAAACTTTAACAGACTAATAAAAAACAAAGAATTAAAGATAGCATGACATGGCAGTGTGTATATATAATTCCCGTACTGGGGAAGCTCAGGCAGGAGGATCACAGGACTGAGCTCAGCATGGGCAGTTTAGTGACTTAGTGAGACTATCTCTTAAAAGAAATCAGAAAAATGACTAAACATGTATAATTCAACATAACAGCCCCGGGTTTAATTCCCAGGATGGGGGAGGGGATAAGAGATTGAAGAATTAAAATCCTACCAGAAAGTGTTGTGGATTTATGTCGGTGGTAAAGTGCTCGCCCAGCACACGCTATACTGGGCAAGAACTGACCTGGGTTCAGTTCTCAGCACACACGCGTGCACACACACACACACACACACACATGCACACACACACACACACACAAATACATAAAATAACATAACATAAAACAAAATCTAACAAAGAAAAGCCCAGCAACAGGTTGGCTTCACAGCTGAACTTTATACAAGGTTCTTAAAATAGTAATTGAAACCCAATACTTGGATGAGTATTTTTAAAAAATAACTGTTGAGTAATTAGTAGCTTTTGCAAGGTGATTCTGACATGGGCAAAGTCAGCTTAAAATATTTATATTTTATTATTATTATAATTCTTAACACAGATTAATTTTACCAATTAATGAAATTTACTACATTTAAGAACACATATTGTTTTTAAAGAAATAATACTATGAAGTGATTAAGAGAACAAACTCTAGAATCACATGACCTATGAATCTCAGCTCCAAAACTCTGTAGATACAATAACATCTCAATTGATATGGGTTCGTTTTATAGACTCCTCATAATGTTTTTCTTCAGTTAGGTAAAGCTAATTAGATTTGTAATCTTGACCATGTTCACCTCCTTCTACCATGACTTCCACACAGTGAGATTAAGACAAGTTCTCACTAAACATTGGCTTTTGAAAATTAATTTCCAGTTACATTCCAATGACCATGTGATGAATTCACTATATTCATACTCTGGCGATAAACCTAATGAACTCTTGAAGTAGATCATGTATGTTCTCACCCCTCTTCCTTTCTTCCATTTTCCCTCTTTAGCTGGAGGTTTTTTGACTTTACTAATGTTTTAAAAAATAGCTTTTTGTTTCAGCGATTTTCTCTACTAATATTTTGGTTCTCAATTGGTTGATTTCCACTCTTGCTCTATGTTTATTCTCCTCCTGATTTCTTTGTGCTTCTGTTGCTCTGCTTCCTGGAGATGGAAAGCTATCACTCATTCCAGACTTTTCCTCTTCACTAACATTAATATTCTGTCTACAAATTTCCTTCACAAAAATGCTTTGGTTCCAACTCCCAAACACTGATCTGTTACACTTTAACTTTCATTCAGTTCAGTTTTATTTGTTTTTCCTTTACGAATTGTTTCCATGGTTGGGCTATTTGAAAGTATACTGCTTAGTTTCTTGAGCCTTTCAGAGGAAAACTGATACACTTTGAGATCATAATGTTAAATATTATGTGGTTTCTGTTACATGACACATTTAAAGTATAAATGCATCAAAGAATAAAAGTAAATCAGTCTAAATCAATCAATCAATCAGAAATAAAAGAAAACGGAAAATAGGTAGATAGACCTTTTGCAAAAAAACAAAAAAAACAAAAAGGAGGGGAGGACCAAGAGATGGAAGAGAGGGAAGAGAGGGAAGGGGAAGGGACGGAAGTGCTCAGAAGAGTCCTCTGCATGCACCAGCTTCCCATGGTGAGTGGAGTCATGACACACTACCGACACGGACTCACAAAAATTTTAAAGAGGATTAAAGGGGCCGGAGATATAGCTCGGCCACACAGCGCTGGCCTGGCAAGCATGAGGTCATGAGTTTGATTACCAGTGCCAAAATAAATAAACAAATAAATAAATAAGAATTTAAAAAATAAAAAGAAAAAAAAAATCGAGAACGAAAATTTAATCTGATGCATGTGAAATTCTTTGGGTTTATCCCATTGCAGTTGCTTCTGGTCTTTCAGTCTGTAGGTCTGTGTGACTTTTCCAAGCTGACATTTCCAGCTATGATTTGTCTACGTTGGCAGCTAGCTCCCTTTTGTCTTATACCTCCCTGGGCATAAATATTAGAGCTTTTGTTACAGTACCACATCTCTCTCACACTCTGTACTCATTCCTTTCCCGGTCTGTTTTTCCTGTGCTGTTCATTTCATTCTTTTATCTTTAAATTCAAGGGTTCTCTCTTCTATCTTCTAACTTCTGCCATTGAGATTTTTCAGTTTCTGTAAGTTCTTTTCAGTTCTATTACTTCTATGTTTCAATAATTTATAAGATTTCTTTTTGCTGTCTCCTCAGTATTGGCAGCTACTAACTATCTTTCCTCATTCTCTGCGAGATCCAGGAAGTATGAGTCATATTTTATAGAAGCATAGATTTGGGGGGCATGACATTTTGAAAATTCTGATCACAGTGCCCTGGAGAGGCGAGCAGGGTGGTGTCTCAGTATCTGGCGAGTTGCATTTTAAAATCTTATACAAATAAAAAAACACCTTTGGTTAAAACCACCCTGCACACATACAAGTTGAAGCCCACAGGGATACCAAAACTGAGAACACCCCATAGAATGGCACAGTACTTCCACATAACCTGCACATTATCTTCCGTAAACTAGTAATTATCTTCTAGGTTAATTTTCATGCTAACACAGTGTAAATGCTGTATACATAGTTGTAATACTGCATATATTTAGGAATTATAATAAAGAAAAAAGTGCAGTAGAGATGATCAATAAAGATGCAATTTTCTGAATATTTTGGATCCGTGGTTGAAAGAAACTGCAGCTGTGGAACCCACAGGATACAAAGGGATAACCACATTAAAATTTATTGTTTACTATTTTATTTAATGTATTTACTCGGTTTATGTTAGACACTTGAACCGTGGCATAGTTACTGATAAGAACACACTGTGTACTAATAACTGTATTATGAATTCTGTCATGTTGAAACTTCAATTATCTCTTGCCAAGGGCTTGGATGGATACTACTATCTTGAGTATCAAAGCCCAGCCTGTCTGAGTTGACTTCACAAGAGCCCTCAAAAGAAATTCGAACTTATTTTATTCTATAATAACATCTAGAAATATGTAATAACAAACGTGCATAACCCATGGAATTTGTTTTACTTATTTAAAAATGAAAACATGAGAGGATAAAACAGATCCAATATATTATGAGCAAACAAGCAAAGGTTTAACTATTCCTATAAAGTGCATTGCTTTCTTTGCTTTGGTTTTTCATTTCTTACTTACTGGCAAGCTAGCACACATGTATTTAACTTACCTCACTCATTTGGAGAGTGTAGGGAGTGTCTTGACTATTACTTCTCACTAGATGAAATCAGAAAAAGAAAAAAGTTATATTGGCCACTGATCTGACAGTGTTTGAAAATATGTATTAGGAGAAAACAGGAAATCGATAAGCAAATTTCAGAGAGAGAGAAAAAAATAGTGGATGGAAGCATGCAAGACCTTCCTAGAGCTAAATTATTCCACACAGCCCCCCAAAAACACCTCACTAAGGACTGTTTGATTCCAGGCAGAAAGCATAAATAGTGCTGTGTAGGATATACTCCCATCCTCTAAGCAGGGAAGTTAATTTGCAGTAATACAGCCATCAACCCAGAGCAAAATCACTGAGGTCATGTTCACTGCTATCTCCTCGCTCTCACCAGGTGAGAGTTAACATTCTCTTCACTCATCTCCTGGACCGGATGGGAGGAAAACACTGCTAGAACATGACCCATTTCTAAGGAAGCCAGGGCTGGGGATTTAGCTCAGTGGCACAGCG